CTTCAAGAATGAGAGGGTATTTGATTTCTCAGCACAAAAAATGAAATTAAGTCTATGAAATATCAGAATCTCCAGAAAATAAGGTAGCAAAATCCTCCAAGAGAAGAATGGAACAGGAAGGAGGCAAAGAGAGAAACAGGACACAAAAGATTAAGAAGCAAGATGACTTTATAACTTACAGGAGTAACATGGAGTCTAGATATCATTGTAATGCCATCAAAATCCTTAGGGCATACACAATTCAACCAAAGTGTAAACCAAGAACAGGGAGAACATGTTCAGAGATTTACTTCTCCTGTGATCCTTTCTCAGCAATTTAACAAGCAGAATAGTCTACCAAGAGAAGGGGAAGGGCAGAGGGAAAGAAAAAGAAAAGAGTTGGGACTGGAGCTGTAGCGCAGTGGGTTAATGTCTTGGCCTGAAGCGCCAGCATCTCATATGGGCAACGGTTCGAGATCCGGCTGCTCCACTTCCTGTCCAGCTCTCTGCTATGGCCCGGGCAAGCAGTACCACTCACGTGGGAGACCTGGAGGAGGCTCCTGGCTCCTGGCTTCAGATGGGCGCAGTCCTGGCTGTTGCGGCCATTTGAGGAATGAACCATCAGATGGAAGACCTCTCTCTCTGCCTCTCCTCTCCGTGTGTAATTCTAACTTTCAAATAAATAAATAAATCTTTAAAAAAATAAATTAAAAATAAAAAAGAAAAAGAAAAGAGTCCAGGAAGAGGCATAGGGTGTGCTCTGGGCTTTGTCCTAACCCCTAGTACCTCAAAATGTGACTGTATTTGGATACAGGGGCTTAAAGAAAGTAATTAAGGTTGAATAAGGCCATAGGGTGCAGCTTCATGCAATGACTGGAATCCTTAAAGAGGCACAGACACTAGGAATGCATGTGCACAGGGAGAAGGCAGCCATTTGCAGCCCAGGGAAAGAAGGAAGCCTCAGGAGAAGCCAGTCCTACTCAGCCCTTGATCTTGAACTTCCAGCCTCCAGAATGGTGAGAAAATAAATTTCTGGTAAGTGACACTGTCTGTGGTATATGTTATGGCAGCCCTGGCAAACTAATACAGAGTGCTGACCAAGCTTTTAGAAAACAGTTCCAAAGCACACAGTAAGAAAGGCTGCTTACAACCAGGGCTGGCCCAGGCTCTGCCCAGCACAGTGGTGGACTATCGGACCCACCTGCCAGCTCACCTATGGTAGAAACCACCACACGAGCAGGGAACAGCCACCAGTTTGGAGCAGGAAGAGCAGGAGCTGTATACAAAAGATCTTTTCTGGGAAAAAGAAAGACTGTAGCAGACTACTGATCACGTGAAAAATTATACTGAGAAAATGTGGACATTACAGAAGACCAGTAATAGGAATAAAGAAAAATAGACAAAAAAAAAAAAAAGAAAATTAACGTAGCATAGCAGATAAAGCTACCACCTGCAATGCCAGCATCCCATATAGGTACCAGTTCAAGTCCCAACTGTTCCACTTCTGATCCAGCTCCCTGCTAATGGCCTGGGAAAACCAGTGAAGATGGCACAAGTGTCTGGGCCCTTGTCACCCACGTGGGAGACCCAGACGGAGCTCCTGGCTTTGCCCCAGCCATCTGGGGAGTGAACCGTGATGGAAGAGCTCTCCCTCTGTAACTCTTTCAAAAAAATAAACTAACAAAGAAAATGCACCATTACTTAGTTGGCACGTGAACAACAAAATGGACTTATTACAATGCATTCTAAATAATTAGGTAATGCAGAATTGTGATGAGCCTAGGCTGGGAGTGAGGGTAAGGAGTGGGGACAAGAGGGAAATGCTGGGTCTTTCTATCCATCATAACAGGAAATCAACAGCTACAATCCAAAATGAAAGATAAAATATATCCAGGTTTGGAGATATTTAGATGTATGAAGTTCAAGAGTAGAAGAAATTGCTTCTGGGAAACAGAATTGGAGAAGCAGCAGAGACTAATGTTTTTCAGTATAGGAAAACCCTTTTTTGTGCTACCTGACCTTTTAAAATCATGTGTATTTATTATTTGATAAAGAAATGAGTCCTATGTCATTTCTTTCATTGATCTATAAAAGCTTACCCTACCTAGTCTTTGTCTGTTTTATTCCCAATCTTTTCAACAAATCTGATGCAGTCGTAAGAGAAGCGACCATTGAAGGGATCTAGGCTAATCAGAAGGTTTTTACCCTTGGATTAAAAGCCATCTGGAAAAGGAAAACTAGCAAGAAGAACTCCTCTCTACAAGTGAAAGGTCAGCAAAACCCAGGAGGGCTTCTTCCAGTTTTGCATAGAGATGCGCAAGGCAAAGCCCCAAAGACTGAATAGATCTCTCAATTCTATTGCTAGAAACCATGTCTTTCGAGGAGCATCATGCTGATCATTTTAACAATTCAGAAAAAGGCTGTGGTGCAAAAATTCCCTGGCATTTTACTTGGAGGTCTCTACTTACAGAAGCTTACTAATAAGGCATGCTTTGATTAACTGCTTTGTCTACATATACATGTACTCGCACATAATGTATAGACCAAACAAAATCAATCTATTGGGGCCAGCGCTGTGGTATAGTGGGCTGAGCCTCCCCTTGTGGCACCAGCATCCTGTATGGGCACCGGTTTGTAGCTCAGCTGTTCCACTTCTGATCCAGCTCTCTGCTACGGCCTGGGAAAGCAACAGAAGATGGTCCAAGTGGTTGGGTCCCTGCACCCACATGGGAGACCCACAAGAAACTCCTGGCTCCTGGCTTTGGATCGGCCCAGCTCTAGCTGTTGTGGCCATTTGGGGAGTGAATCAGTGATGGAAGACCTTTTTCTCTGTCTATAACTCTACCTCTCAAATAGATAAATAAAACATTTTTTTTTTTTTAAAATCAATCACTCATGACTCGAGAATCTGTTTCTTGTCACTCCCCCCATATTCAAATCGTTCATTAGTTCATTTTTAAGTATCGTTGAGTGTGCTATGAAAAAGGCTTCTCAGGCTCCTTGGAAAATAGAAGCACGTGGGCTCAGCCCTCAAGAGTGGAGGTAGGACACCGTGGATAATCTCAGAAATATCTTTCAGTCTCCAGCTCTCTACACGATACTCTCATGGAATACAGACACAGGATGTGGGCATGGAATGCTTATAAAGTGGCTCAGAACGACGGATATTCTTTCACGCCATGCATTCTTGTAAAGCTTCCAATGTCAACATCTTAAGAGTATCAAGCTTAGCCCTTGTCCAGGTAACAGGTCGAGTAAGACAGGGACTGTAAATGAGGTTATGAGCATCCCCAAAAGGACGTAGCAGTGTATCTCAGAACCTGTCAATACCAAGCGAAAAGGAGAAGCAGTTGTGATACAGAGAATTTGATTGTCACTGGCAAGCAGTAGAAAACATTAGAACTTCAGCTATTTTTAAAAACACTCCAAGAGCATTAAGAACCATCTCAGGGGATACGGGAACTAGAGGTGTCAAATTCACGTTAATAGATGGAACAAATTCTTCCTCAAAAATATTGACAGGCTGAAATAATCCTGCTTCTGTCAACAGAACTGAAAACACTTTTTATGAAATAGTATCTTAGTCTAAAAGAGTTTCACTGGCAGAATGATAACTCAGGCTGGATTTCTTTGACCAAATAAACTATAATATTTGATTTACTTGCTTAGCAAATAGTTAACAGTCAGCAAGAATATAATGTGCAGCTATCTTCAAACCAATCCATCAAAACAAGGAGATAACACACTAATTTATATGGAAAGGAGAGTCAAGGTTGAAAAGCAGAAGTGACATGTCTCAAGTACACGCCAAAAGAACATCAGCCAACGTCCGCAGGCATTGCCGCCACTTCTTGAACACTTACTATGCATCGGGCACAATGCCAACTGCTTACCCATCAGGGTGGCCTCGTAGTTGGGCAAGAGCTTGGACTCTGAAGTCAAGTTGCTGGGGTTCAAAACATCAGTTCTTCCACAAACTGTGGGAACTCGGGCAAGCCATGAATCTCTCTCTGTGCCTCCATTTCCTAATTTGTAAAATGGAGCTAATAGTGGATTCCAGCTCACAGGGTTGTGCGAGAATCAGATGAGTTATAGATATAATGTAATGAGAACACTGCCAGGTGCACAGTTAGTGCTACAGAAGTGTTAGCTGTTGTTGCTCTTAAAGCTAAGTGGCAGGCACAGCCAAAACTCAAAGATGAACCTTCCACTCTTAAATACTATGTATACTGACTAAAAGAGACTCTACTAAAAATGAATTATCAATAGTGATCAGTGCTCTGGTTATGGAAGATAAACGGAACACAAGGCAAACGGATGAAAACTGAGCAGCAGCTATCAAAGGAGAGAGTGGCTTGCCAAGCAGGCTCAGAGGCAGGAGACCGTCCACTAAAGAGCAGCCTGCACACTGCACTGGGCCAGGAGGTTCAGATTCTTTTCTAATTTGAAAGACAAACACATGGGAACAGAGACAAGCAGTCAGATTTATCCACTGGTTCATGTCCTAGATGATTCAGTCAGGCCAAAGCCAGGAGCCTGGAACTCAATCCAGGTCTCCTATGTGGGTGGCAGGAACTCAAGTACTTGAGTCATCACCACTGCCTCCCAGGGTGCTCATTAGCAGGAAGATGCAGTTGAGAACAGACCTGGGATTTGAACCTAGGAATCCCAAGTATTATCTTAGCCACTTAACACCTGTCCTGGGACTCAGGTTCTAACACCAGCTCAGCAACCAACTCACTGTGTTCCCAGAATGTATTCATAATTATAATTCTGGGTACAGCAACTGATATAGAGCGAAAGAAAAAACTACAGAGAAGCAATTCTACCATATCATCACTAAAATATAAGCAGGTTAATCTGAAATGAAGCAGGAATAATTTTTTAATAACTATGTAATAATTTTCAAACATGCTATATTTTGCATAGGGAGAAGTTATAAACTATTTCTTACATATATGGTTGATATATCCTTTAGCATCATCAGTTTTATAAAGAAGCTGAGAAATGTTACAACTCACCTTTCTGCCCGTGACGGCTGCTGAATTTATCTCCGATCTCTGGTCGCCTTGTCTGCCTCAGTAGCATTTTGATCAGAAAAGCGTCCTCAGCATTTGAAGATATCATCACTTTCTCAATATATGAATCTGTGGCCCCCTTGTAGCTAATATTAAGAGAAAATCACCAAAACGGTTTTCAGACTGCAGTTTGTGAACCTGTCACCAACATGGCATTCTATTTACTGCCCCCCCCCCAACACCCCCGCAGAGTATTTTGACATTTTCATCCTGGGCACTGGAAAATAAATTTAAACGTTAAATTCAAATTTTACAATTTCCCTTTACAGCCCTGTACATTTATTATAAGGCAAGCAAAATACAGTTTGACCCTCACAACAGTCCCCTATGGTTATTTTCCATTACCAAGAGGCTAAGGAAAGTGTACAAAGGTACAAGGACACAGAACGGACCAGGACTTGACTTGAACTTGTCAGACCCAACTTCAAGTTCTTAACCATTTTATAACAATCTTTTGATCTACTCAGCTTCTCCATTATTTTTTTTTTAAGATTTATTTATTTGAAAGAGAATGACAGAAAGAGATCTTCTATCCACTGGTTCATTCCCCAAATGCCCACAACAGCCAGGGCTGGGCCAGGCCAAAGGCCAGGAGCTAGGAATTCCACTTGAGTCTCCCACATCAGTGACAGAATCCAAATATTTTAGGCCAACATCTGCTGCCTCCAGGGCACACATGAGCTGGAAGCTGGATTGGAACTGGAGTAGCATACCCTCTGATATGTGATACGTTACACCCTCCATGGGTGTGCATTCCACAGGGCAGGGACCTGCAGTGGCTTTGTTCACTGCACTAGCTTATGCCCCTAGGATGTAGTTCTGGATATATCGTTAGCGTTCAGAAACCATTTTGTGAATAAAGTGAACACGCAGGAGGTCTGTGGTGGCCTCTCCCAGAGCTGTGGCAGTGGGCTAGTTCGGAGCGTTGAGGAGTGAGAGGAAGGTCAACAGTAGAGACAGAGCTGACAGAGTTCGTCCAGAGCTCTTCAGTGAATGAAGAGGAACATAGTGGTTGCTAGAAAGAAACCCAAAGTCCAGGAAAATTTCTTTTGCTTTTTTTCCTAATAAACTAAGAAATATCTGGGCACATTTCTGAGCCTGTGGGGAAGGAGTCAATAGGAAATGGGTGGAAAATAAGGCAGGGTGGAAGAGAAAATGACAGTAAGGGATACAATTAAGAACCCAGGAAGAGAGAGCTTTGAAAAGAGAGATCCTGAAAGTCAATGTGCACAGCCACCTGCTCCTCTAAAATGCCTTTTCCTTTGGTCCAACTCAGTGCAGGGCCTGTGTTCTTCTCAAGGCAGAACAGCCCACTCTCCTATGTGCTACCACGCCAGACAAAGACCATGGCACCCGTGGCTTGCTGTGCATGGAGCACCGGCTCAAGAGCAAGGCTCTAAGGCCAGACTGCATGGGTTCAAATCCTGATTCCACCAATCTGGAGGCCCTGTTAGGTTATTTCACCTCTTTATGCCTCAGTCCATATCTGTTTATGAGCTACCAAAAGAACACAGCTTATGGGGTAGTGGCAGATGAGCTAATATACGCAAAAAGCCCAGAACAGTAATGGTACAGTGTGAGTTCTCCATTAGGATACTATGGCCGTGAAAATTTTAGCTCTATTTTTGGTGTGTGGAGGTCTTTGCCGACATGACTGGTTTATTTCAGGCTCTATGTCCCTGGTAGGCTTGGAGGTTGGCACACGATAGGCCTCAAGAACTGAGTGTTGAATGGTCAGGGAAAACAGCATCTCATTGCTCAGGAATCCACTCTCCTGTTACCCTCATCTCCTTCCCATAATTGGTTAACCTAGTTCACCTGGAATAGGTCATATACCTCTTCTAGTTTGTGTGTTTGTGTGTGTGTGTGTGTTTAAGATTTATTTTATTTGAAAGGCAGAGTTACAGAGAGATAGAGAGGGAGAGAGAGAATGGAAAGAAAGATCTTTCATCCTCTGGTTTACTCCCCAAACAGCTACAATGGCCAGGGAAGGGCCAGACCCAGGCCAGGAGCCTCATCCAGGTCTCCCACATGGGTTCAGGAGCCCAAACACTTGAGCCATCTTTTGCTGTTTTCCCAGGCATATCAGTAGGGAGCTGGATTGGAAGTAGAGCAGCTGGGACTTGAACCAGAATCCATATGGGATGCTGGCATTGAAAGTGGCAGCCTAACCCATTACACCACAATGCAAGCCCCATTTATTTAATTTAATTTAAAATTTATTTAAATATTACAGTGGGGACTATCCTGGTTCATCTCACGAAGTTTCATAATTTATTATATTTTAGAGCTAAGAGGGAAGCCAGAGATTAGCAACTCTCTTTCATTGTACCTATGATAGAATTGAGGTCAACAGAGTTTGGTGTTCTATCCTCACGAGCTAACCCGGTGCGAGCAGTGCTGGAACCAGGCTGCATTCCAGCACAGCAGTAATGTCACCCTGCAACCAGTGTGTGTGTGTTTGAATACGAATCTGATCACGTCACTCTCTACAGAATAAATTCCTAACTCTTCCACAACTTAGCCCCAGCAAGCTGCACTGACCTCCCAAATGCAGGCACCTTCATGCCGTGTACCCCTCATCTTGCTGTTTCTTCAACCTGAAACTCCAATTTGGTTCGCACCTCAAACCTAGACTGAAAGGCTCTGTGATTTCTCAGTCCAGTTTTATCTTCTAGTCCATGCTGATCTCAGCACAAGGTCTAGCACCCTAAGTTGTTATTTCCAGTTATCCTGCCCAAGACCTGAATTCCAAGTTCCCCAGGCTTCCTCTTTGTCTAACCTTCCTATTTATTCCCAAGGCACTGGCGATACATACGTGATGGGCACATCTTTGTACTGTGGCTGCTGTGGCACGTTACTTCCTTCCAAAGGAATCTGAGTCACTGTGGGCATAGACTTATTCACAAGCACTTGCTTATTTTCTACTTTCTCACCTAAGAAAAAGAGAAAAGTGTTGCACATATCCTCAGAACTACAAGCAAACAGTAATGGGGCATACAGCTATGTAGTTAGATTTGGTCCAGGAATTCCAGACACTGAAGAAAAATATATAGGTCTACACAGTGGGAACTAGAATCCAACCAGTTAAAATTGAAAGCTGTTAGAAATAAAATTAAGAGGTGACTTAAGGGACCACATTAACAATGGACACACCTTAGTAAATAGTAATTTTTTTATACCTCTCAGGGTGTTAGAACAAGTTCAGACCACTTATTTATTTATAGTTATATCAACCAGAAACAAGTCACTGTCAACCTAACTTGGCAGTAAAAGCATTTGTTTACTTTTCCTGATAGACCTACTTGTGCTTTCTGTCTCTTCTTGGTAAGCTCAAAGATCAGCTTCTCACAGTTCTGTCACAGCATTTATTTTCTAAGCCACACTGACAGGTGTTACTAGTGAGAGAAATTCTCCAAGAAACAAAGGCAGAGGAGAGGGGTCGCCATGCACTGTGTGCCCTGTGGAAGCCCACTCAGTCAGTACTCACCACCTGGATGCCAACCATGACAAGCTCATCTGGATTTTCCTGACCAGTTTTCCAGGGCAGCTTTTCTCTCCCACCTTCACTGCAGCTCCTGGTGCCTGGCCTACTGAGAGGATACTCAGTAGGTCTCCCCTCTGTTCTGTCTCTTTCTAATCCCTTCTCCACACTATACGCAGTCTGAGCAGCTTTTGAAGTTGTCCGATTCTTCCCTTGCTTTTGAGATCATCATGAAAACAGTGCCATGGCTGCTGGGCCTTGCCTAGTATGACCCCTGTCCCACCCTCCCTGCCCCCATCTCTCTAGACTCCTGTTCACCTCACTCTACTATCCTTTCTTCCTCATTTTTTTTTGTTAGGAAAAAAATCTAGCATTTGATTTATTATTTTTTTGAAATTTTTATTAGTTTTTAACAGATTCAACACAGTTTGTGGATACAATTCTAGCCACACTGGCCTTTCAGATCTGTCAGCTGTCAAGTCTGACAACACTTGTGCAAGTTTTTCTCACTGCTGACAACACATTCCCCATTCCCCTTCCCTCCCTCTCTCCTCCCCCTTTTATTAGCTAACTCTACCCATCCTTCTGATTTCAGCTTAATTCCTTGGGGGAGGCTCTGCTGACCTTCCTAATTAGGTCGAATCCTCTTGCTACCTATCTATCAAATCCTCCTGCTCTGATTCCTCAACATGGTTATAATTTGACCTATGTCTGTGTGTGATCCTTTGATCAATGTCAGCGTCCCACTCCAGCCTGTAAGACTCCTAAGGGCAGCAGCGACTGCGGGTTGCATGAACAACTCATTACAAGACTGCAATTGCAACGAAGAAACGCCTTTTAGGGGAAGAAAATTCTATAGTCAATTCGTAAACAAAATGTAGAAATAAAGACATACTAGTGTGGATGCAAGGACAAGGTTCTAGTCTAAAAAATTCCCTTACAGTGGCTTTTCCAGGATTCAAAACTGTAACTAGAAAATTATCATTTGAATAGGTAACTGCTATGTAAAAACATAGTGCATAGAAAAATAGATTAGAAGGACATTAATAAAAAATGATGATATTGGTTGAGTCTAGATAGTGGTATTATAGGCTTTTTTTCTGCTCTGTCCACCAAATATTCAGAAATATTAAGGAATAGCTTTCATAATTTTTAAAAGTATACATTAAAAAAATTTTAAAGGCTTTTACCTGGAGAACAAATACCATCTGCATCTAAAATTTCATGTCGCCAGATAGGTTTCCTTGTAGCAGCATCCAACATGGGCCCCATCACTTTATCGAAAGTCTGATTGGTATAGCGTTTCAATGTACATTTTGCATTTTTATATACTAGGCAACGCCCAAAGCCTAAAATAAAACCAAAATGTTTAATTGTGCTATCCAACAATCCATACTACCTTACTCTCCCAAAAAATCCCAAACTGCTCTACATGTGGATAACCTAGGCCTGCCACAAACCAAGTAACAACTTGAAGAAATGGCTCAGGACCACTGCCCTACCTATTGTCTGTATAAACACAGGAATCTCCACAACAATTTGTTGGCACACATCTTGGAGAAGCGAGAGAAATCTAAGAGTAACAGTATGACTCTTTCAGAGTACAGAGCCACAGAGTATTAGAATTAGAAATCACCTGGCTTAATCCCTCTGCTTTACAGGCACAATAAGTAAGGTCCAAAGAAATTAAAGGACCAAAGTCAGACAGCTGGTAGCAGAGCTGAGAACAGGCCAGGTCCACCAACTCCTGAGCCAGGACTCTGGGTATACATCCTTCTAGTGCAAGACTTCCATTAACCTTTCCTGGAAAAAGTTTTTTCCCAAATATTATCTCTTTATTTGTTTTTATTTGAAAGGCAGACACACACAAAGATAAGAGAAAGAAAGAGGAGCAAGACAACAAGAAAGATCTTCAATCTGCTGGTTCACTCCCCAAATCCCCACAACAGCCAGGACTAGGGCAGGCCAAAGCCAGGAGCCCAGAACTCCATCCAGGTCTCCCACACAGATGGCAGGGACCTAAGTACTTGAGTCATCACATGCGGCCTCCCAGGATGAGCATTAGGCAGGAAGCTGGATGAAGCAGAGCCAGGACTCAGAAAACCCAAGCACTAGGACATGGAATGCAGGTGGCCCAACTGGGTGGTTTAACTGCTGTGCCAAACTTACCTGTCTCAGAAAGTTTCTTTTTTATTTGTTAATTTTGACATTTTATTTGTTAATTTTGACAAGCATGCAAACAAAAAACAAATTTTCTACAGAGAAGAGAGTAAAATGAAGCAGTCATCAGATGTTGTTAATAGGACAGAATGCCTCTGGTGTAAAGATCAGAGTTTAATTACAATTTTAAATGACATTTATCTGATGGATAAAAGAAAAGCTGGGAGATCAATTAACAATCTAAACACGAAATAAGCAAAATGGACAGAAGAAAAAACTCTGGATAGAGCAAAATACTCAACTACTGAATCCCTCAAAAATATCTATCAGTTGTAAAGTTATCAAGAAAGCTATAATTCCTTCAACATTAAATATCATTTCCCAAGATTCTGTGAAAGCATTTCTTTCTTATTTCCCCTTTGGCCAACAAGTTATTTTAAACTGGATCCTCTAGGGGCAGCTCTTTGTGTAGTGGGTAAAGCTGCCGCCTGCAGTGCCGGCATCTCATACAGGTGCCAGTTTGAGTACTGGCTGCTCCACTTTCTGATCCAGCTCCTTACTAATGCACCTGGGAAAGCAGTGGGGAAGATGGCCCAAGTTCTTGGACCCCTTCACCCACATGAGGGAGTCAGAGGAAGCTCCTGGCTTCGAACTGGCCCAGCGACAGCCATTGCAGCTCTTTAGAGAATGAACTAGAGGATGGATGATATCTCTGTCTCTCTGTGACTCTACCTTTCAAATAAATAAATAAACCTTTTGTAAAAAGAAACTGGATTTTCTCTCTCTATTCTCCTGAGGATATACCGAGCCATATGAGAATTTACTTAAAGTACAAAAATGTCTCAAGACTAGTATCTCAGGATTAAATGTCAGCTATTGGGGTAGGCATTTGGCAAGTGGTTAAGTTGCTACTTGGGATTCCCCCATCAAATATTGGACTGCCTGGTTCGGGTTGTGGCTCCCCCACTTCCAACCTAGCTTTTGCACCCTGGAAGGCAAAAGATAATGACTCAAATGCTTTGGTCCCTGTCACCCACAGGGAGACCTGGATAGAGTTGTGGGCTCCTGGATTTGGCAAGGTCTAGTCCTGGCTGTTGTGGGTATTTCGGAAGATTTCTCTCTGGCTGTTTCTTTTCCTTTCAAATAAAATAAAAATAAATATATAAAAATTTAAGAAAAAGAATGCTAGCTATTACGAATGCAACAAATGCATAGCTATAAAATCCTTCACTTATAACTTTCTACCAAAAGCAGGAACTCTTAAGAAATCTATCAATGTGACCTTAGAAAATTAGTCAGGTAAAAGTAATTTCTAAATAGACTCTCAGTGTGCTAATGTGATTTTTTTAAAATATGAAAGTGATTGTGTAATTAAATAAATGTCTGCCATTAATGGCAGATGAAAACTCCTGTGTGTCTTCAAGGCAGATTTTACTCATCATGGATCTAGTAAATCGTGTATGACCAGAACACACTGAGCTCAGAGAGACAGCTGGTTTGGAAACACTACATGATCTCGCAATTTCCTACAATAGCCATTACTGCATCAGGCTGGGGTGCGGTGTGAGTCTGAACTGCATGCAATCAAGAAGTGTTCTAAGTGAAAATGGACATTTTAGTCACAGGTGCGAGTTCAAGGCAAGGGGACAGTAAACTCAGATCATTACACTGTGATGTGGAGTTGCTGACAGACATCACAAAGTCTGCAGATTTCCACATACACGTTACCAGTTAATCAGAAAGGAAAACATCTAGTTTTAAAGCATGGCTGTTGTCATCTGGAGGAAAAAAAGAGGCATAAATTAAGTGCAGCCAACATTAACGCCAAAGACACATGTCTAGGAGTACTATTATGGCTGCCTAGCAACTGCAGAGGCAAGGGGAAGCAGACTGGAGATGCCAGAGAGCCAGCAGCCAGAGAGCAGCAGCAATGGTGAATAGAGAAGTCAGCCTTCAGTCAGGTGACAGCCCGCACAACCCAGAAAGGGAGACTTGCCCCAGGAAACTGTCAAAATACTGAGAAATAACGTAAAACTACAAGCCAGGATTTGCATATGTGTATTTTGTTTAACTTCTGTCATTGGCAAATTTAAAAAAGGTATAGATTACAGAGTTATGATATGAAATTTAAAATTGCCATTTATTTCCCAATATTGCTTGTTTGTTGATGACTAGACTTTTAAAAATTTACTTCAATTACTGCAATTCCTGCTTGAAAATAAGCAAATTTTTGTATTCTTTTCTCTTTGAGAAATTGTCTCAAGTCACTAATAAAATAACACCAACAAAAAGATCCTATAGGAGTGAATTTACAAAGTTATCTCCATATAATATTAGAAATAAAAATGCCAATAATAAAACCCAACTGCTCCTCCATTGGTATATTACAAAACAGAAATCAACTGCACCAGGTGTTTTTACATTAATTATCCCTTTATTTAATTTTGTAAAAGGCACCTGTGGTGTTACAGCTTTGAAAGTTCACCCACCTCTGTCCAGGGAGGCCTTGTTTAGAACAAGAGCATCTTCAATATCATAGCCACTATAACTCATCACAGCAACTGTCGCATTCTGTCCAGCTGGCAGCTTCTCGAATTCTATCAGCTCAATGGTTTTTGTCTTAACCATGGGCTTCTGTGGATATGCTAACAGATACATCAGAGTATCAATTCTGTTCCGCTGGTTATATCCAATGGTACCTTCATTGACGTTGGAGAAAACAAAATGCAAAATTCCATTATGTGAAACAAGTAGGTAGTAATAAACAGATATACACACACTAACTTTTTAATAAAAAGGAATAAAATCCCTAGGGCAAACATTTCTTTTTAAAAAAAATTTTTTTAATTTATTTGACAGGTAGAGTTACAGACAGTGAGAGAGAGAGAGACAGAGAGAAAGGTCTTCCTTCCATTGGTTCACTCCCCAATGGCCGCTATGGCCGGTGCTGCGCTGATCTGAAGCCAGGAGCCAGGTGCTTCCTCCTGGTCTCCCATGGGGTGCAGGGCCCAAGCACTTGGGCCATCCTCCACTGCACTCCCGGGCCACAGCAGAGAGCTGGACTGGAAGAAGAGCAACTGGGACTAAAACCCAGCGCTGCAGGCGGAGGATTAACCAAGTCAGCCACGGTGCTGGCCCTCTTTTTTTTCTGTTTTCTTTTTTTTTTTTAAGATTTATTTATTTATTTGAAAGGCAGAGATACAGAGAGGAAGAGGCAGAGAGAGAGATCTTCCACCTGCTGGTTCACTCCCAAATGGCCACAATAGCAGGAGGTGGGCCAATCCAAGGCTAGGAGCCAGGAGCTTCTTCTGGGTCTTCCACGTTGGGGCAGGAGCCAAGGAACTTGGGTCAACTTCTACTGCCTTTCCAGGCCATAGCAGAGAGCTGGAAGTGGAGCAGCCGGGACTCAAACCTGCACCTATATGAGATGCCAGCACTGCAGGAGGCAGCTTTACCCGCTAAGCCACAGTGCCAGCTAGGACAAACATTTCAAAAGCAATACTCTCACAGTAGCTACCAATTTTTAAAAGCAATTTTCTCACTGATGTTTAAAATCCTATAAGAAAAATTATATTCAAGATATATTACTAATTAAATAATATCCACTTCTAAATTTATATAATTGATCCTGTTTGATAAACTTCAGTTTATCACTAATTAAGTTCACAAGCAATTTGGAGGCCAGCGCTATGGCGTAGTAAGCTAAGCCTCTGCCTGTGGCGTCGGCATTCCATATGGGTACCAGTTTGTTCTGGCTGTTCCATTCCCAATCCAGCTCTCTGCTAATGGCCTGGGAAAGCAGTGGAAGATGGCTGAAGTCCTTGGGCCCCTACACCCACGTGGGAGACCCAGAAGAAGCTCATGCTCCTGGCTTCAGATTGGCCCAGCTCCAGTCATTGTGGCCATTTGGAGTGAACCAGTGGATGGAAGACCTCTCTATGTCTGTAACTTGACTCTCAGATAAATAAATAAACATTAAAAAAAAAAAGTTCATAAGCAATTCAACAACTCTGCATTTGATTCTATTAATGTTCCAGGCACATCTCCAGTTGTTGAGGAAAGGTAATGGGAGAATCAGATCCAGTGTTCACAGACAAGGAGTTTATACAGTGTGACAAACAGATGCATTTCATTAAAAACAAATTTCAAAATTCAAAGTGAAAAAGAAAGCAGGAGAGAAGGAATGGAATGAAGAAAGAAGAATCCAAGTGAGAGCATGGAAGAGTAGATTTATTGAGTTGTTTCAGTTATTTATAACTTAATAAATACTTATTAATACTAATAAATTGTACAAATACTTATAAATATTCATTTATTACGCAATTAATAAACATCTCTTCTGTGCCAACACTGGAGATAAAATGAAGGAAAAGCCAAGTTCCCCTTCCCTAAGGAATCTAGGGTATGATCCAATCAGGATGGGCTCTTCCTGCCTTAACAATCAGCCTGCTAATCTGACTGGTCTTTGCAAGGGTGTTACTAGGTGACTGTCAACTGAAAATTAAATCAGAATGCCAGCCCTATTTTTCTCTTAGAAACACATTGGGGCTCATAGACCTGCCCACAGAAAAGTCTTTCAGTCTTTTGGCCTTGTGGATATACACTTGATCCTACACAGAGTCCTTACAACTGGGAAACTCAATCTTGCCTACTTTTGAGCTGGAGTTTGAAGTACCAAGTCTCTTTAACTTCTAGGCTGAAAAGAAGGTGAATAAGGAGTAAAGAAGGTAGCTTTAAGTCTCTCTTGCTCTGGCCATGCTTCCATAGTGACACATACATAACACTCACACAATCCCAGGTACTCAGGTGCCAGTTATGGAGGTATGCCCTAGGCTAAACAGATACCAAAACTCACTATTTACTCCCTTTCACTTTTTCTCCATACTCATATTAAATGGTGATTTCAATCCAAGATGAAAACAACTATTCTAGCAGCAATAAAATGGTATTCCTTAACAATCTCTATTGAAAGAAATAATAAAATCTGTAGACTATATCAAAGAAATGCACCAAGTACAGAGCTGGGCTCAAAAGAGGCACTCAATGAATATTAAGTGAATTAAATCAAAGAATCTCATTACACTTTTTTTGACAGTATGTATTTGTGCTTAAATCTCTAGAAAACATACCAAGATTTGGCTAAAAAACACCAGTCAGATTGAATCTCATGAACTATTTGTTGACTTTGCACTATAAATTGCCAATTAATTTATGCTATTTTTGTGCCAACTAATAAACTGGGCAAGACACTTGGCAATAGATCACTTACTGTGTGAGAATAAGATTACTGCTGCTGAGATCATGGTAAAGTTCACTGACAATAAGTTTGTTCTTTTGCATGAAATAATTCAGAATTTATGTTGAGATTTCAACTCCAATTGTGTACTTTACCCAGCTTGAGACAAGGGTCCAGGCAATGTCCCACCAGGCTGCCAAACATGTCTTCTGAAACCTGAGCCCAGCATTCTTATGCAGCAGGGAGGCATAAAGAGCTGTACCTCGAAACAATGGAGAAAGAGCCTGGATCCTGCTATAAATTGTGCTATCAGGCCCCGGACATAATTCTTGAGCATCACAACTCACCACTGAATGGATGAAGAGCAAAATGGCTCAGCCCATGTTTTGTGCTTATGATCTCATCAGAAAGTTCTCGTTAAGGACTTTTTAAAGAACTTGTGGGAGAATTAAAGGACATATATTGTTAGCACTACTGATTATGGATTTGTGAGGTAAAACTATGACTTCTCTCTCATAAAGCTTCACACCTTCAGACTTTCATTATTTTATAAAAATTATGATGCCTTTCTAGCTATTCTGCCAAAAAAGCAACCTTTCTTTTTGAGAAAATGTCACAGAGAAATCAAATCATAAGGCTTGCTTGTGCTCAAATTAGGGCACTCCTATGACTGTTTCCCGCTTCCTTTCAAGAGGGCCTTCCACTTGTACATATAACAACCAACACAAGGACAATGTCCACAAGTATAAACTGTCTTCTACATCTATTGCCCCATTTTGCTATAACCATAGTCACCAACGATTTCTTACTATACAGGACATAATCTTTCCTACATATTTTCTTGACAATAATAAAATTCTTAAGTCACAAATTGGTATAGCAAGGTATACAGGTATAAGTTTAAAAAATGCTTTTTCTCTAAGTGGTATGAGAAAGGTTAGTAAGGATGTGAATAGTTTAGAAAACATCTATTAAAAAAAGAAGCTTTATGCATTGAGCTGGGTTTTTTGTCTTCCTTTGCCCAATTTTTTGTCCCTGGCCCCAGGAAACATTGGAACTGTTTTTATCTTTACAGATTTGCTTGCATTTTCTAAAATTTTATATAAGTGGCATATGAGAGCACTTCAAAAAGTTCATGGAAAATGGGATGAGAAGATTATTTTGGTGCAAAAAAGTCTAAAATCCATGAAGTGTTCTCAGAATACACATTCTCCAGAAACTTGCTGAAAACCCTCTCATATGCATGATTAATCTTTTCATTCCATTTCAACAAACTTTCTGGTGTCCCCTACAGTATGTCTATTCTTTTGCAGGTATATTTCACTTGGCTTACTGATTCTGAGATTCATCCATGTGACTGTCTGAACTGTAGTTCATTTCTTTTAATTCCACATAGTACTTCAATGTATGAATATACATTTTATTTCTCCATTCACCTACTGATGGACATCTGTGCTGTTCTGGGTTTTGGTTACTGAGAATAAAGCTGCTATAAACATTCACATATAAGTCTTTGCATGTCCTCAATTCTTTGGGTAAGTAGTTAAGGAGTGGGATTTCTAGGGTGCTTGGTAAGGGTAGGTTAACTTTAAGATACTACCAAACAATTTTTTTTTTTTTTTTGACAGGCAGAGTTAGACAGTGAGAGAGAGAGAGACAGAGAGAAAGGTCTTCCTTTTTCCGTTGGTTCACCCACTCAAGTGGCTGCTACAGCCAGCGCGCTGCGGCCGGTGCAGTGCACTGATCGGAAGCCAGGAGCCAGGTGCTTTCTTCTGGTCTCCCATGCAGGTGCAGGGCCCAAGGACCTGAACCATCCTCCACTGCACTCCTTGGCCACAGCAGAGAGCTGGACTGGAAGAGGAGCAACCAGGACAGAATCCGGTGCCTCAACCAGGACTAGAACCTGGGGTGCCGGCACTGCAGGCGGAGGATTAGCCTAGTGAGCCGCAGCGCCAGCCCACTACCAATTTTCCAGAGTGACTGCACCACTTCACATTCCTACTGGAGCACAGCAGCCTTCTGCTTGCCCTATGTTAGCACTGACATTCTGTATTTACTGTCAGTCTTTAGTTTTCATCAAATAAGCACAGAGTAATATATCACAGTGGCTTCAACTTGTATGGACCTGACAACTTATAATGTTGGACATAATTTCACAGGCTTATTGGTCACATGTATAATTCTGTGATGTTTGTCTCATTAATATATACTATATGCAAATCCTTTATAAGATATAACCACAAATACTTTCTCCCATTTTATGGCATGTTTTTTCATACTCTTAATGGTACCTTTCAAAGGACAAAGATTTACTTTTGAGAAAGACCAATTTATTATGTTTTCTTCTTAACAGTTGTGTTTTTTGTATACTATCTCAGAAATTGTAGCTGAAGCCATGAAGATTTTCACCTGTTTCCTTTCTCATGTTTTATGTTTTAGCTCCTTCACTTAGGGCTATGATCCATTTTGTATTAATTTCTTATATGGTAGAGGTAGAAATTGATGTTCATTTTTTTCCACGTAGATATAAACATTTGATTTTGTTGAAAATCTCTTTCCCTTGGAATTGCTTTGACATATTCATTGAAAATCAATTCCCCTTAAATATATGGGTTTGTTTTTGGATTCTTAATTCCAATGCACTGACTTACATGTCTATTCTTCTGTCAACACCATACTGCATTACTGCAGCTTAACAGTAAGTCAACATCAGTTTGTGGAAGTCCTCCAACTTATTCTTGTTCCAAAATTCTTTTCAAAAATCTGTCCCTAATTTCTTAACAATTCTAATATGCCTAAGACTTACTCACTAAATTTTGAAACATTTACTGAGTACTTATACCACCTACTAGTCAGGCACTAGGCCAGGCTCAAAGGATACACTAACAACACAGTCCCTTCATGCAAGGGGCAGGGAAGGTACCTGACCATGATCCATTGCAACAGAATCTACTATGAGCAAAGAAATCTGTGTCAGTTGAGAACAATTTTATAGAACAACTTCCATAGAAGGCACAATGTAACCTTTTTTTTTTTTTTTTTTTTTTTTGACAGGCCCCAAGCAGATTTGGATATTGGGAGAAGAGAGACAGTCAGAGATATGTCTTCCTTTGCCGTTGGTTCACCCTCCAATGGCCGCCGCTGCAGCCGGCGCACCGCGCTGATCCTGGCAGGAGCCAGGAGCCAGGTGCTTTTCCTGGTCTCCCATGGGGTGCAGGGCCCAAGCACCTGGGCCATCCTCCACTGCACTCCCTGGCCATAGCAGAGAGCTGGCCTGGAAGAGGGGCAACCGGGACAGAATCCGGCGCCCCAACCGGGACTAGAACCCGGTGTGCCGGCGCCGCAAGGTGGAGGATTAGCCTATTGAGCTACGGCGCCGGCTCAATGTAACCTTTTTTTAAGTTACACAATCAAACTGGGATTCAGCTACCTTGTTAGATTAAAAAAAAAAAATGTATGCATGTATGAATGTATGTATGTACTATTATAGTGATTAAAAGAGGACACATATGTGAAGAATTTGAGTACTCAGTGCCAAGATTCATTATGATTAACAATATCAGTAGTAATGATAAAATATTTATCCTTGCACCTTACAGTATCACCCATTCTACCTCCAGCTAACTCTAACCTACACGCCGCACTGGTTTTACCTCGGTTAACTATTCACGGCCTATATTCTCACCTTAGAATATGCCCCATAAACTTATACCTAAAACAGCTACAATGGTTAAAAAAATTTTTTTAACCAACATTTCTAAAAGGGAGTTGCCAGGAATATTTTGACCAAGACATATTTTGTTCATTTTATGTCCTTAAACGGATAAAGAATAAATAAGTTTAAAAAATTCAAACAGAAAGAGGGGAGAAGTTGTAGAATGAAAGAAAATTTTATGAAGATCTCTGTATATCATATACTTCCAATATTTCAAAATCCTCCATCCTGTTTCCAGGACATCCCATCCCTACTGTAAAATGGAGAGCACAGAAAAGAAACTATCTCCTTAGAAATAGAATCTATTGAAAGCAAAAACAAAAACAGAAGCTGCATTAGCTCCTGAGTTAAAAAGGCAAGTCCCAGCAATTTGGGAAGTGGGGCAAGGGGTGGTGAGAAGAGGCTGTGGGAGGAGGCTAGGGGAGGTCTGTGATGCATATTCATTAACTGAGCCAATAGTGGCTGAGAGATCCCTTTACAAGGGGAAAGTGTTTCACTAGACGATTGCCAGCTAATAAAATGGGCAGGATATGAAAGCGTGACTCATGTGAACTTGGCATCGGGTGCAGTGAGAGTATACACAAGACAGCTCCAACACACAGCCTCTGTTCGTACTGCCGAGTGACCTGGATACCTTGCCATTTCCAGATGTCTACCTGGCTTCTTGCTCCAAACCATGTCACACACACAGAGCCAGAGCCATGGAATGGAGGGATTTCTTAGCACAGAGAGTCACTGTGGGGCAACAAACTTGATCAATAATTTAAAGCACCAAAGATTTAAGAAACACTCTGTGCTGGTGTTTTTTGTGAGATTTGCTTCCTTTAATATGCAAGGTAAGACTTCTGGTCTCTGTGGTTTGCACCAGTCTTGGTCTCCTTCACAGTGACAGAAAATGTCTTATTTCTTCCCTGCGTTAGAGGAGGTAAAGGGCAGGTGTTGGCAGATAGGAAATTTTCCAGGTTGGCTAGATTATTTCATGAATTAACTCTGGGCTACTTTCTTTCACTTTCTACATAGATTATCAGACAGACAAACTTTAGCACATCTGCAGAGAATCTCTGAGATTTAAATAGTCTTCAGCAATCGTTCATATTTAAAGTGAGACAGAGCGTGACTGTGAGTTATCAGCTATCCAGACTGCATGGAATTAAAATGATGCACAGAAGTGTGATTCCAAGGGTTGGGTTTGCTTGACAGACCTGGGTCTTTGCGTGGGCTCTCTCCCACTACTGACTTTTCTCCTTGTGTGATTTTTCATACAGACTTCACTCAACACTTTGGCAGCTATGTCAGGGTCCAAAGAGAAATGTGGCTCTGGTATGTGCCAACTTTAAATGTACTTTTATCTCGCTGCTTTTCTTTCCAGTCAGGTGTTTTATAATAACCAACAGTAACAAAGGCTTTTTCTTATTACTTAAGATATTCAGTGGCTTTTGTCTTCCCAGCGTCAGCAGTAACGTCAGAGGATTGTATCCAAGGAGCTAAATGTGCAGGACCCAGGGTCAGAGCAGCTGAATACACCAACCTCAGAAAACACAGACAATGAATTGCAAATGACACTCAAAACAAAACGAGAAAAAAACCCTTCACACAGAAAACCACAAAAGAACTCTACAGACACTGAATTGGCTTTCTGTACACACTGATCCTGCTTAACTGTGTGTGGTAACTAGCAGTGATTCAGATACTCATGGCCACAAAGTAAAGGGTTTTTTTCCCCCTCTTTTGTGGGGAGGAGTTATAAAAATAAAAATGTTATTTCTTTCCTTCAAGTCTATTCTTTAGTGAGAAGAAAAAAAAAAAAAAAAGAGCTTCCCTAAACAGAAATGGATGTGAGTCTCTGTTTCCATCTTCAAGCACACTGGAGAGCAGCACTGGAGACCAAGTGATTAGTCTTCCGTTAATTCTGCTGAAAGTTCTCCACAAAAGGTATATTGTTTCAGCTGGGATTCACATCATGAAACAAAATGGTTTGGTAAAGCCAATAGAAGTGATAGTCCTTTCAAGACACACAGGGTGCAGTACTGTATATTTCTACTTGTTAGCAAGTCAGAAGCACAAGCGGGAAATCAGCCTACACTGCTGCTGACGATGAATGGGAAAAGTGAAATTGATGAGCTGCTGTTTAGATTTTCCCACTGGGAATTATTCTGAACTGTCCAGGCATTACATCATTCAGGTAAGTGGTAGTAGGACAATGCACTTATTTTATATTACATCATTCAGGTAGATGGTAGTAGGACAATGCACTTATTACTTCTTTATGGCTAACCAAAGAGCAATATGAAAATTTAAAAAAGATAAATATACACACACATATACACAAACTGTGCACCCACACTGAAGAGACAGAATTCCTGAATCGTCAGGCTGTCGTCAGCACATCTGGTTGCAGGTAACTGACAAGCTGGCTGTACCCAGAGGTAACGTCAAAGCCCCCTTCCATGTTTTTATGGTCTTTTTATGAAGCTCCTTCTATCATACTTCCAGTCAGAGCTGACAAGTCACACGGATGTCCAGGCATGTCTGATAACAGTATTTATTAGATTTACGTGATTTAGAAAATATTTTGAGGGTGGGAGGGTAGGTATGGGGGGAAAAACCGCTATAATCCAAAAGTTGTACCTATTAAATTTATATTTATTAAATGAAAGCTTTCTACAAAATAAAAAAAAAGAAAATATTTTGAAAAGGCTTAGAAGCAAATCTTCTTGCCTGAGAGCTATGTATTACCTTTAGGACACAACCCCAAGTCCTCAGTGGGACCCCTCTAGCATACCTCTGCATAGACACTACACCAGACAGCCACACCAAGGACTCCACAATCCTGCCTGTACTTCCACTGCCTTTGAAATACACGTCTTTCAAGACATCCTTCAGAAACAAATCGTGCTCTAACTCCAAGTGATCTTCCTCCTCTGATTCCCTGAGATCCCAGCTGCTGGTCCGTTACAGCACTACTCACACCACAGGGAATTCCTGTTTTATCTTCTGGTCTCCCCTACTAGGCTGAGAACTCACTGAGGCTGTCTCATTTCTTTATGTTCAGATTCTGGTCCCATGCTGGATCGATAATTATGTTCAGAAAGTTTTATAGGGAGGATAGATAAATTAATAGATGGACAGTTGGAAGGAAAGTAAAATAGCAAAGAGAAAGGAACATGAACTCAGCAATTGGTGTGACAAGGACTGGGTAACTTTTAGGAGACACAGCAGCAACTGCAAGGAGACAGTGGATTCAATGTCTCACCCAGGCAATTAAGAGAACAGTCTAATACTGCGCTACACATGTTCTCCTACTCCTCCCCGCTCTTTCTACCATGTTTCCTGGTTAGCTGCTTACATCTTGCAGGGCTTGGCTCCTCGTATGTACTTCTTCAAAATTCTGTGACATTTATTATAAGTTGCTTTTTTTAGTCAAAGAAGCAAGTTCAGAGCAGGTTTCTTGGGTTTGTTTCAGCTTTAGACCTGACAGAGCACCAGCAAGCACTGCACAAGTTCCACAGGCAACCCTTGGTGCTACATGACTGCCTGATCCAAGCCTGTAATACTAGTGAGGCAAGAATAAAAATAAGCCTTTTCCCCAAGTATTTAAAACAAAATTCAAGGAGGGAAGCTTACCCATTGCTTGCTTCCCCATGGCACACTGATAGGTATTTCTTGGGGACTGGTTATGATGAGGGTATGGAATCAGGCCAGCACAAACGCCGAGAAGAGTGAAGGGTTCAATCTCTAAGTGTGTCGTATCTCTAGGAAATTAGGTAAGAATTAGAAGATTGAGACATCAAGTACTAAAGTCAGTGTGTCTCAAAGGTTATAATAATATTATCTAGCTTGCTAAGGGATTTAGAAGATTAAAGTTTAATGTTAATAAACCAGTAAAACAGAAATAAAATAAAATAAAATAAAATAAAATAAAACATAACAACTTATACTTTTTTAAGTGATAGAAATATAAGAGAATGGAGGTTGCATGTCACACCTATACAGAAAATAAAGATTACACTACATACTAATAACACATTAAAGAAATGACTATACTGCACCTTTAGAAATAAAGTATTAGCAGTAACCACCTGTACTCCTAGCCTGCTTTTCTTACTCATCCAGCTTATATCAATGACAAAGGTGTCTCATCGTTTTAGAGAAAGAAATATATATCTTTCAAGAAGAGTTACTATAGACCTATCAGGATCAATACCACAGCCATAAGCTAGTGTGAGCAAGGAACTAAATGTTTAGTTTTACTTAATTTTAATTATTTTACATTTTAAAACTCAAATTTAAGTGTAAATAACTCACTTTAGTTATTTGAATCTTTTATTATTTTCAGAACTTACATTTATAAATTATTTTTTTGATTGAAAATGTTCTGAAATCACAGTGAGCATTTCCAATCAAAACCTGGCATCTAAACTGAGATGTGCCCTAAATATCTATCACGTTTTGAAGATTTGTTGAAGGAGGAAAGTAATCTTAATATTCTATTTTGATTACATGTTGACATGATAGTTTAGACATACTGGGTTAAATAAAATGAATTAGTTTTACCTGCTTGCTTTTACTTTTTAAATGTGGTTACTAAAAAATTTGAAGCTATACAAGTATAGGTTTACAGGAGTTTTTTATTTTTTTGATAGCTCTGCTATATTTATTGAACACAAAGTCAGATTTTATCTAGGTGTTAGAATCTTAGTTATTTCCATAACATATCTCTTCATAAAACTCCGTTGTAGAATCACTGAAAGGAAAAGAACAGCCAGATGATTTTTAGGTTTCTGCTGGAAATGGCAGATATCACATCTAGGATCTGTGGTCTCTGCTGACGCCCCACTCTTCCCTCTGCGCTTGTCATGTGGAACCTTAGCAACAATTGTGTACGTGGAGAGAAGTGATTTCTAAGACAGTCAGCCTTGAGGCATGGTGGAAATTCAGTTTCAATGTACCCTGGTGAAGGAGGCCCCCACTCATCCATCTGTTTCTTCTCAATACACACGCACTGAGTGATGTCCCAGCCCAGTGAGAGGGGACTCTCCTGCAGCCCTGGTTGAAGAACACCTCTGACCTTATCAGCTAGCAGTCCCCGCCTAGCAGACACCCTGGTCTTGTCTGCAGGCAGGGGAAGGACTCTAGGTTTTGTTTTGTTTTAAAGAGCATCAGTTTACAGCTACCTTTTCCTTAAAAGGCATTTGTTTTAAATATACTATTTTGTTTAAACACTGGCTAGAGACAACCTTCTCCATGTTTCCAAAGGTAAAGATTGAGTTAAAAGTTGGAAAAATAAAAAGGAAAACATTTGAAGTTTCTCTTATTATCATGCTTGTAACAAATAAAATCATATAGTATCTAATAATTATTGAAAATCCAAATACTCTGGGTATTTTGATTTTCTAAAAAATCATTTTCCTTAAAACCATAACTAATTTAAGATTCTATCCTGAACAGAATTGGGTTTCCTATTTACTGTGGGGAAAGCATTTAAATTTAGCTTAAATCACAACTAATTAATTATTGTTTATAAATATAGGAAAATCAGAAATAACCTAAACATTCATCAGCAAGGAACAAGCTAAATAAACCATATGTAAGCAGATAATGTAAAAATAATGATTTAAAATAATAATATATTTATATATAAATAAATATATACACACTAGTATAAAAAATCCAGAATATACTGTTATGTTTAAAGTCAGGAAATGAGGCTGCTACCATTATTTTATACACACACATTGTATGGGCTCCCAAATAAATGCTCATTTGGAAAAAAATCTGGAAGAACCATATTGAACTATTAGTACTATCTAGTTTTGTTTCTAAAGGGTAGAGTGTGGTGGGATGGGGAAGAAAGGAGATTCATTCTTTTTACTTTACATGTTGCTGTATTTTGAAAAACTTCATAGGTATGAAAAAGGCAATATAAAAATGTTTACCAAACAAAACAGATTTGATAAGTGGAACAGGTTGGCAACTGGGTTAATACTGATAGGAAAAGACTCTAGAGGAGGTGACATCTGACTTAAAACTTGGAGGAAGTGATGCAGTGTGCCACACGGGGGTGCGTGAGACTGAGTATTCCTGGAGAGGAAAGGCACTGAAGCAAAGGCACGCTGGAGTGTTTGGAACAGGGGTCAGAGTGGCTGAACCAGGGAGGGAGAGGAGCAAGGGCAGGATGCTGCAATGGTGAAGCGGCCAGATCATGTAGGCCTTGAAGGCCTCTGTAAGGGCTTCTGAGGGCGATGGGCAGCCACTGGCCGGTGGGAAAGTCCTGACATAAGCACGCTGCTCCCTAAGGAACAGACTTATGGTATTAAGTGCAAAAATAGTCAGGAGACTCTTGCAAGAGCCCAGGTAGCCACGGGAGTGGCCAGGACTAGTGCAGTGGGTGGCAGATTTTGAAGACTCGCACAACACGCTAAGGAACTGATGCGGACATAGGCAAGGAGATGAATCACGGCTGACACAGCTTTTGGGCTTGAGTAACACAAAGGTCAGAACTGTCACTAACAGGGTTACTAAAAACTAGTTCTCCTTTATGTTCTGCCAATTCTGAAATGGGAGGTATAAAGTAATTTGAGAGATTCACATCTTTAAGGAATGAAAAGTCTGATTAGGATGCATTATTTATTGCGTTATAATAGTGTTGTACATTACATCTGGTAAAAGAAAACATAAAAAAATACTTGTTCTTTACTGAAGATACAAAGAATTATCAGGTGCTAATACTAAACTCCCTAAGTATTTAACAACATAAATGCAACAAGTCCAATTTCAGGTAAGTGGTTCCTTAGTTACATACATCAGATAGCAAGGTATGTACATGTCCTCCCATATATTCCAAATGGAACATGGGTGTTTCTAAAAATATCACTGCTCTAGAGGCAATGCTGCAAACATAATACCATTTCAAGTTTACACTGCTCTTAGGTTTCCTGTACTGACAATAAGAATTCAGAGGCCCATTGGGAAAGCTCTCTAAGGAAGAGACAGATCCATTTCTACGTAACCTGACTCAATGGTTCAATTTTGGCAGTAATTAAATATTAAAGATGACCTGTTAGCATCTCTGTGATAATCTCAAAAATTGGAGTAAGTGAAGGGTATACTTTACTATGAGACAGTTTACTTACAGCAATTCCTCCTCAAAGAGTACATGACAGAGAAATAGAAGATGACAAGGAAAAAGAGAAGATAGTAGCTATTGTCAGAATAGGTTTCAACTACACTTGTTACAGATTTTACTTACTTATTAATTGTGTGTTCATATAGTGCAATGTTGCAATCATTTTCTTCATTGACATCTAAATATTCAACCAGACTCTCATGTAAGAAGTCTTCAAAATTCCTGAGAAATAATGGTGAAGAGACATTATCAGAAAGCATTTTACAGGGGCCAGCACTGTGGTGCAATGGGTTAAGCCACTTCCTGTGATGCAAGCATCCCATATGAGTCCTGGTTCAAGTCCTGGATGCTCCACTTCTAATCTAGCTCCCTGCTGATGCACCCGGGAAAGCAGCAGCAGATGACGTAAATACCCAGCCACCCATGCAGGAGCCCCAGATGGAGTTCTAGGCTCCTGGCTTCAACCTGGCCCCACTGAGGCTGTTGTAGACATTCGAGGAATGAACCAGAGGATAGAAGATTTCTCTCTCTTTCTGTTTCTCCTTCTCTAACTCTGACTTTCAAATAAATAAATCTTTTTTTAAAAAAGCATTTTACAGCAGTATTTTATTATATAAAAAATAACAAGACACTGCCTTTCATTCAGGCTAAAAGCACCTTTCTCTCCCAAACAGCAGCAGTACATTGGGATACTGATATTCTTGGGTCACAGAGTGATTACAAATCACTGAAACAAAATTAGTACAGCTTCTGTGATTCTTGTCAATCTGGTCCCCACTTCTAAAAAACACATCTAACTTAAAAACCTCCATGGGATGCGAGGCCCTCAGCATCCACATCTTCTCTCACTAGAAACATTAACAGTACACAGACTCACACTGGGCTCTGCAATCCTCAGGATCTGAACTGCTAAGTATTTTACCATGTCCAAGCAGGTGGGAAGGAATAAAGAGACTGAAAATGAAAAGATACTTCTCTTGAAAGCACAGATCCAATGGCCTTGTTACTGACTCATTATTGGTTGACTAAAGCGTACATATGTGTGTGAAGGAGATCTATGTACTTTTTTTTTTTTTTTTTTTTTTGACAGATAGAGTTAGACAGTGAGAGAGACAGAGAGAGAAAGGTCTTCCTTCCGTTGCTTCACCCCCAAATGGCCGCCACGGCCGAAGCTATGCCGATCTAAAGCCAGGAGCCAGATACTTCTTCCTGGTTTCCGATGCAGGTACAGGCACCCAAGCACTTGGGCCATCCTCCACTACCTTCCTGGGCCACAGGAGAGAGCTGGACTGAAAGAGGAGCAACCAGGACTTGAACCTGGCGCCCATAAGGGATGCCGGTGCCGCAAGTGGAGGATTACCCAAGTGAGCCATAGCACCGGTCCCAAGATCTATGTACTTTAATTGGGGCTGCTTACCTGTACCCCTGAGCCAGCTCTTCCATATGCTTATTCGTGACTGCTGGTTTCTGCTTCTTGACAATTATGTAGGGTCTAGAATGCAGAAAAGAAACAAATTAATAGGTGTTCCATGCAAGAATTACGTTGGCAAATTAGTTTACTATAGAGAAATGAGGGAAGAGGTAGATACAATTAAACTTATTACTGGACTGTTTGAGGCCATCAGGTATTTTTGCATGTGTCAGCATGTAAGGACCCACCCTTTCTTTCTTATATAAACATACACACATAAGCCTATATGCATGCAAATATGTGTGTACATACACAGGCACACACAAAATACTGCCTCCAAATATCTCAGAGAACATTTGGTTTTGAATGAAAAGTCAACACAAAAATAATAAAATCTTGTTTTGCTTCCCAGAGTTTCAGTTCCATGGTCTGAAAATATTAAATGGAGTATTCTAGAAATAAACAATTCATAAGCTTTACATTTTGTGCTGTTTTGAGTAGTGTGTCAGAATCTCACACCTTCCCCCTCTGCCCTGCCTGGGATGTGGAGCATCTCTTTGTCCAGCGTTATCTGAGTTATATATCCTACCTGCCCATTAATCATGCAGTAGCCATCCAGGTTACCATGTTGAAAAAGATAGTTTATCTAAGATTGGCATCCACTGGGGGGCTTAGAATGTATCCCCACGGATAAGGGGGGACTACTATACTATCCATGGATTCTGCAGGCAAAGAAACATTGTCCCTCAGGACAATAATGACATTTTGTTATGAGGGCTGGAGGACTACCCATATTTGATTAGGATAAACACCACTGAGCTACACCCGCAGGTTACTTAAATCTACATGTGTCCTGGAAAAGCAGCAATGTGACTGCGACTTTCTTACTTTGCGATTCTTAGCAATGCATGTGGTTTAAGGTAGTGAGCTCCTGAGCAGATTAACCTGTAACTGTCAGTGGGGACTTGTTTCTGAGGGTTTTGCCACCACAAGGAAACACTGACACAAAGGAAGGCATGTGGCCATGAAACGTCAAGGGCGGTTGCTATTTGGATAAGCAGCTCTTACCGGGAGGAGCAAGTCACCAACAGACACTTGTGTGCTCTGCCCTGAAGCCCCAATAACCACGGCAGGACTAACAGCACTTCCCGACAGTTTGGAAGAAGAGCTGCACAATGACAAGAGGGGACCAAAGTTGCTGACAATTGAACTGGGTGAGCTTTTCATGGAAATCCACACTATTTGGAAATTCTGGCTGCTTCTTGGTTGGAAGCAGAGCAATCTGCTGTCTCAGTCAGGAGCGGCAGCGTGCTTCAGGTGTCGCATCAGCAATGACGGGAACAGGAGAAGGGGCACACGTAGCTACCTGGGTTCCTCTTCACTCTCTAAGTTCTACTGATTCCTACTGCCAGAATCACCTCTAAAAAACAATGTTTGCTTTTAGAGAATGCTACATCATATTGGATATAAGGAAAGAAAAATGATGTACTGTATTTCCTGCCCCTAACTGGACCACGTTAATAGCTATGAATAGTGATCAAGTACCAAATGTGTGCCTGGCACTCTACAGGCACCACAATCTTGTTATCAGTTTTCAGGACAATCCCAGGTAGAGATTATTATTGACATTTTACAGCCAAGGAAATCAAGGCTTGGAGACTTAAGTAACATACATGGACTCACACAAACCAATAAATAAGAACTTGGGATTCAAACATGGGTATATCATCAGTTAGCCATTCTTTGGCTGTAAAGAAGAGAAACCAATCCTGGTTACTTAAAACAAAAATGGAATTTACTGGAAGCATCAGGAATTTACTGGAAGGAACAGAATCCAAGAAAAAAGTATAATCCTCAGCCTCTGAAAGACAAGGAACCAGAGCAGTCAGTCCCAAGAATCCAGAGTGAGGCTGGCACTGTGGCACAGCGGGTAAAGCCACCACCTGCAGTGCCAGCATCCCATATGGGCACTAGTTCAAGTCCCAGGTGCTCCACTTCCGATCCAGCTCTCTGCCATGGCCTTGGGAAAACAACAGAAGATGACTCAAGTCCTTGGGCTCCTGTACCCACTTGGGAGACCCAGAAGAAGCTCCTGGCTCCTGGCTTCAGAACAGTGCAGCTCTGTCCACTGCAGCCAATTGGGGAGTGAACCAGTAGATGGAAGACCTCTTTCTCTCTGCCTCTCCTTCTGTCCCTGTATAATTTACTTTCAAATAAACAAATCTTTAAAAAAATAAATAAATAAAAGCAAGGCGTCCTGGGCAGTCTCTTCCATGCATCAGCTGGTACGAAGCACCTCCTTCCCGTGATTCACTCCAGCTGGCATTCACGTTTTCTATAAGAGAGTCTGGCAGATCTCGCTTGGGTCATATGCCTGATCCTGGGCTAAGGAGAATACACCGAAGACTGTGGAAGAAGGAGAGTCCCAAAAGGAAAAAGTAGTGGAATGGGAAGGAAAAAGGACTCTGGACAGACCCAAACAACCACAGTCCACCTGCCTAGCTCATACTCTTCCAGCCACTTCTAGCTCTCTGCCTACACAGGATGATTAGAGTAAAACAAGAAAAGGCTTGTGAAACACAGCAATGACCTCAGGTGATAGCCCACATGTCCCCAAAAGGCCAGACACTCCATTACCTTCATCTCTAGACCTCTGGCTCCTAGACAGGACTTGTGCATAACAAGCCTTTAATAAAAGTTTGTTGAATGAATAAAAGCAACCCACTCTTCTGTGCCTAATGCTGTTTTTATTCCTTCATGTCTCTACCTTTTTATTCCTGCTTTTCTGCTCTCTTTATACTCAAGTGGCACAACTCTACTACTGTTTTAAAGCTAAGCTTGCAGCAACAGTATATAGTGAGTAAAAATCATGACTATTGGAGTCAAATTAATTCTAGGGACTTTGGAGTAAAAAACAGACGCTTACTCTTTAGCTTTGAGTAAGTTACTTAGCCTCACTGAACTCATATCCTCATTTATAAAATAAAAATAATAATCTGATCTGAGGGTTACATGAAGCAAAAGCATTATACTTATAGTACATGCATTATGTTCAAACAATGGCCAGTATCAATTATTAGCACAATTCTCTGTTCTTCTTTCTGCCTCTCTCAGCAGACTGAGTTCTCTGAGGGCAGAGACTGGCTCCCATGCATCTCAGAACCACCCATTAATTGCGGCTCCCATTAATCTCTGGAGCGTTGGCTAAGCAAATTAATCTTATTAGTGAAAAAAGTTAAAGCAGCTTCAAAAATAAAAACAAGTCTACTTCTTTCAAAAGTGAATATAAACTGATTCTTAAAAACCGCTTTTGCAATAATTACCTGCACAGCCTTCCTCCATCAGAGGAAATATACACACACCGATCTGTAAGATTTGTCGAAATGGAAACAAATTCATTGATGTATCCTGCTCTCCGCATCAGTCGAAATGTATTCACAAGCTTTTTATGGTCTCGAATGACTCCCAGGATGTTTCCTATGGGAAAAAGAAGAAGAGGTAAGGCAGAAATAAAACATAAACCCAATCTGATTTAAAATATCTACTAAATAAAAACAATAAGCAACAAAAGAATGGTCGTTTGAAAACACTGTTATTAACTCCTGTAGCCAGTGCACAAGCCATAGGAGAAAACACAGGGAGGAGGGTGGTCTGAGGGACATAGAGTCCAGGGCAGGTCCTGCCTCAATGTTGGCTGAGTAGTACTGGAAAGCTCGCTTCATGGTTCTCCTCTCCTCAGCACAGTGCTGGCATCATGAACTTGGGATCCAGGCACCTGGGTTTGAACATTGGCTCTATCTCGTCAACAGGAGTGGCTACGAAGGTTAAACGAGTTGAACAATGTAAAATACATTTGCCTAGCACCTGGTTAGTGCTGTTACTTAACTGCTCTTGTGATCATTGGTTAGGGTGAGGATCCCAAAAGGTACCAGGAGAAGATGCAAAATAAGAGCTCACTTAGCCTCAACTGGTGGCATACGCTAAAAATGGCAGTCAGGGAGCAGCTCTGCCCAAGTTCTGACCCCTTCCTCACCAGCCCATAAGGGCCCAGGGCTAATGCCTCCCAGAGGGAGATATCTGTCAGTAAGCAGCACACAGACTACCAAAGTAAAAGCAGAAAGGGTGAGGTGCACCTACTGCCCAGCTCTGGGGGATGCTGAAGGAGGTGAGAAGAAGTAGGTGAAAGGAGCATCTGAGGCCGGCGCCGTAGCTCACTAAGCTAATCCTCCACCTGTGGCGCTGGTACCCAAGGTTCTAGTCCTGGTTGGGCGCCGGTTCTGTCCTGATTGCTCCTCTTCCAGTCCAGCTCTCTGCTGTGGCCCGGGAGTACAGTGGAGCATGGCCCAGGTCCTTGGGCCCTGCACCCCCATGGGAGACCAGGAAGAAGCACCTGGCTCCTGGCTTCGGATCAGTGTAGCTCCGGCCGTAGCGGCCACTTGGGGGGTGAACCAATGGAAAAGGAAGACCTTTCTCTGTCTCTCTCTCTCTCACTGTCTAACTCTGCCGGTCCAAAAAAAAAAAAAAAAAAAAAAAAAGGAGCATCCAAATTCTCGCCACAGGCTGTTGACGTACCCATTATCAAATGGCTGAATGGAAGTCAACTGACTCTAAAGGCTGATCTGATTGTTTCTTCAGAATGATGTAGATATGAAATATGCACTTAGAGATACTATATTGAGCCTTATTCCACCGTGGATACACTAGCACTTAAAAAAGATTGAAAAAGAAACCAATTTCTGCAAATTACCTTTCAGCTATGGCAGCTGTGTCTTCTCCAAAACTTGGATAACTCAGGCAATAGAATAATTCTGTTATCTTTTTCTACCTTAAAATTAATGTCAACCTGGCCCAGAATTAAAGTATATTTATTCTTTAAATGCACAGATAGGGGCTGGCGTGGTGCAGCAGGTTAAGCCACTGCCTGTAACACTAGCATCCCACGAAACACTGGTTCAAGTCCCGGCTGCTTTGCTTCCAATCCAGCTCCAAGCTGATGTGCCTGGGAGGACAGGGGAATAATTGGGACCCTGTCACCCATGCGGGAAAACTGGATGGAGTTCCAGGCTGCTGGCTTTGGCCTGACCCAGCCTGGCCGTTAGAGTGATTTGGGGAGAGAATCAGCGGATGGAGGATCTCTTTCTTTCTGTCTCTCTCTGTCCCTCTTCCCTCTGCCTTATAAATAAAATAAATCTTAAAAAAATGCAAAGATAATAATGGATTCCCTCCCTGTCCCAACAGGTTGTCCGGATCAACATGTCTCTCTAATGTACCCACCATTCAGGAAGACGAGGAACACACTTGGGTACGAGAGCTCTTCCCCACACAATAAGTTGACATCTTCTACTCCCAAGTTGCTGGCTAATTTAACAATAGGTCCATCTTCCATGTCAGTTGTGATATGTGTCATAAGGGCCAAATTTTTAACCAAACCACATGCCTAAGAAACAAGATAGCCATCTTTAAGGATAAATATTAGTAATACAAGGTCCAGTTTGTGTCTGAAAACAGCTCACCTCTTTGTTAGCAGCTATACATACATAGATATATAAAAACTAGTACAATATATACTATTTTACAATAGTTTACAGTACAGTATATACTCTCCATATATACACTTATATATATATAAACAGTACAATCTTCTGTGAGACACTCTGGTGATTCACACAAAAGCCTTTCAAAGGTACATATCCTTTCACCCAGGCAAGGAAACAAAATAGATTTAGCTGCAGAATTGCTCAGCACAGTACTATTTGTAATTATAATCATGATGACATCATAAATGTCCAAGACAATATTACATAAAAACAGTAAAGGAAAACACTGAAAAACACAGCTCTATAAAAATATTAAAATGCGGCCGGCGCCGCGGCTCACTAGGCTAATCCTCCGCCTAGCGGCGCCGGCACACTGGGTTCTAGTCCCGGTTGGGGCGCCGGATTCTGTCCCGGTTGCCCCTCTTCCAGGCCAGCTCTCTGCTGTGGCCAGGGAGTGCAGTGGAGGATGGCCCAGGTGCTTGGGCCCTGCACCCCATGGGAGACCAGGAAAAGCACCTGGCTCCTGGCTCCTGCCATCGGATCAGCGCGGCGGCCATTGGAGGGTGAACCAACGGCCAAGGAAGACCTTTCTCTCTGTCTCTCTCTCTCACTGTCCACTCTGCCTGTCAAAAAAATAAAAAAAAATAAATAAATAAAAAAAAATATTAAAATGTCCAGCCTAAAATGACAGACATTTAACAAAATATCTGGCCAGCACTAAAGTTTCTTGGTCATGAAAGGCAAGGAAAGACTAAGGGACTGTTTCATTATAAAAGAAACTAAGGAGATGTGATGACTAAAAGCCATGTGGCAGAAAGAAGACACAAGTGGGACAACTGGTGAGATCTATATAAGGCCTACAGATTATAGTCTTTGTCAATGTTCACTACATGAGGTTGAAAACTGTGATGGCTATGGAAGAAGTTCATATTGTGGGGAATCTAAGTGAAGGATTATGGAAAATCATTTTATATACTTGTTTAGAAATTATTTTATCTTATGTTTGAGAAACAGAGCGATTGAGCACTGTCATCTGCTGGTCCACTCCACAAATGCCTGCAATGGCTAAGGCTGGCCCAGGGCTGAAGCTGGGAGCTAGGAACTTAACCCAAGTCTCTTACATGGCAGGTGGCAGGATGCTGGAATCAGGAGTAAGAGGCAGGAAATGAACTCAGGCTTTCCAAAATGGGAACATGGCTATCTTAACAGCTCATCTAAATGCTTGCTGCCATAGAAAAATCTTTCTATTTTTTTTAATTCGACAAGCAAAGAGACAGAAGGAGAGTGACAGGCCAACAGAGAGCTCTCATCTACTGGTTCACTCCCTAGATGCCTCTAATGGGGACCAAATGGAGTCTGGGGCCAAAGCCAGGAACAGCAGGAACACAATCCCTTGAGCCATCACCACTGCTTCCCAGGGGTTCCATTGGTAGGAAGTAAAACGGGAAGCACTGCCAGGAATCAAACCCAAGTGCTCCAATATGAGATACGGGCATCTTGACTGCTGGGCCAAAAGCTCCCCCAAAATAGTCAGGGCTGGGCTAGGCTGAAGACAGGAGCTTAGAACTCAGTTCAGGTCTCCCACACAGGTGGTGCCTCCTTGGGTGCTTGGATCTCAAATAGGAGGTGTCCCAAGCAGCATCCTACACTACATCCTGTACCAGATACTCGCCCTGTCCTATTGTTGAAATCCTTCTTGTATGTCTGAAATTATTTCAAAATGAAAAGGAAACAAATAGTTTTAAACGTCTATATAACCAGAAAAAAATCTCCAACAAAAATATTAACAAAGATGGAACATAACAAACAGAAAAAGAGACACACATGACATGTGAAGAATTTACTTTCAATTTTTAAAGACTACCTGCTGTAGTAATGAGCAAAGCAGCTACTTTGTTGACATTAGCTGGAGCAATCTCTGGGAAATTTAGTGTTTCTAACTTCAAGACATATAAATTATGCAAATTTGACAAGTTGCATAATTTAAGTGTGAATTTCCATATGGTTTAAGACAAATTAGGAGAGTAATAATATCTAAAAATCACAACTCTACACGGATTCCTATTTTTCACCCTTCTAAGTCATAACAAGTTCCTGTACTTTGGCACCTATGACTTTTATTTGTCTCAGCATATATGAAGGGGTCTTCAAAAGGTTCATGGAAAATATGAATTATCTTTTAGCTCCATTTTTCGTGAACTGTTTGAAAGCCCTTCATATTCATGGGCCTCAACTTTGGATGAGACTCTTTCTGAACCTGAGAAACAATGGTGATCCTTCCTTTCTCCAGAAGTTCACAAGTTAGAGGGAACAGACCCAAGTGAAACAAACAGTAGTAACACAAAGGAGAAAAGGCCACAACATGGGGAAGAGTGAGTGCTACAGAGGCAGACCCACTCAAACCCCTTGGTTTCATGTTTAGGTAACTGCTGTGCTTCTGAGATAAGTGAGTCAGAATTCACTTTAGGACCTGGACTGCACACTCCTAGTTGGCTGGAACCAAGTGGTTGTTGTGGACTTTTTCTGTTTCTAAAAAGTGAATTAACAATTTTTATTTCATTCTCTCAACAAAAGGTTTTTTGTCCTATCTCAATTTTTTTTCTTATTTAAATCACGATGGCCTATAACAGTCGTACAAATAAAGAAATAAGTCAATAAATATATACACGTATATATATTTTTAAATTACACGTTAAGAAAATAAGAAGCAGGCAGAGCATTTGGCCCAGTGGTTAAGATGCCGCACGCCGCATCAGCGTGCCTGTATTTGAGTCTCGGCTCTGGCTTCCTAGCAATGCAGACCACGAGGCAGTAGTGATAGTTCAAGTAATTGGGTTCCTGCCACACATGCACATGTGCGAGATCTGGATCAAGAGTGCCTGGTCTGAGCCCCAGCTACTCTGATTCTGATCTACCTTCCTGCTAATGTGTACCCTAGGAGGTAGCAGGTGATGGCTCAAGTACTTGGGTCCCTGCCACCCACACTGGAGACCTGGAATAAATTCCAGGATCCTGGCTTAAGCCTGACCTAGTCCTGGCTGTTACAGGCATTTGGGGAGTGAACCAGCAAATGAAGATCTCTCTCCATCTGACTCTCTGCCTTTAAAATAAAATGAAAATATATAAATGATTTTTTACAAGCACACAAATGTGGTTATACTGTTTATGGTATCATCAGGTGACAGGAACAATGGATAAATTACCCCGGGGTACAACTTAACAAAAAAGAAAGAAAAGAAATGAAGGAGCTGGATCAAGAAAGGACTCTGTAAGCATCAAAGCGGAGGAGTCTCTCAGTTCTCCTTCACATTCTCACCCCTCTTCTTCTTCTTCTTCTTTTTTTTGACAGGCAGAGTTAGACAGTGAGAGAGAGAGACAGAGAGAAAGGTCTTCCCTCCTTTGGTTCACCCCACAAATGGCTGCTACCGCCGGCGCACTGTGCCAATCCGAAGCCAGGAGCCAGGTCCTTCCTCCTGGTCTCCCACGCGGGTGCAGGGCCCAAGCACTTGGGCCATCCTCCACTGCTTTTCTGGGCCACAGAAGAGAGCTGGACTGGAAGAGGAGCAACTGGGACTAGAACCCGGCACCCCAACCGGGACTAGAACCCAGGGTGCCGGTGCCACAGGCGGAAGATTAGCCTAGTGAGCCGCGGTGCTGGCCTCACCCCTCTTCTTTACATAGCTTGATGCTTGTGATAAAATGCACGAGAAAATTCAGATCACGTTTCCATTTAGTTAAAGCAGTACATCCAATGCATCTGTTAAGTACTGGTATTGCAATGAAACTGATATGGTCTTTACAAGATGCACCAGTAGTTCTTTGCCAGGGAAGTGGCAAATTAAAAAAATATATATCATACGCGCACACACACGGCCTGGGGGATGGGAGCAGGAGGGGACCTCCCCCCACCCTCAACAGGTGTTCCTTCTGCCACAACACGGTGACTCCTCAGGTATCTTACCTCTCCTTCAGGGGTGTCTGAAGGACAGAGCATCCCCCACTGAGATGGCTGGAGAGAGCGAGGACCACTCACTTTTCTTGTTTTTTCAAACTGGGACGAGATTCTCGTCATCATACCAAGAGCAGATATATATGACAAGCGTGACAGCACCTGGGTCACACCCTGGCGGTCCATCTTAAATCTCTTTAGAGACCAATTTCCCTGCAAAGAGAAGGGAGACGTAAGACTGCTTTTACATGGTGCCCAACACTGCAGTCACTCAGAGTTAACAATAGGAGCTACTTGCCTATGAAATTATAGCCAGGATTATCCAGAAATAAAAAATATTACAATTAAAATTAAATTTTAGTCAGGTCATGCCTGGGATTTTCTCAGGATATGATAAAAAGACCCATGTCCAGGGATCCTCTGAGAATGCTTCCCTCCACCAACCTCACCCCATCAGAGCTCGTGCCGTGTGAGGAACTAACTGCATACCGCACAAGCCAGCTCAACCAGAGCTTCCCACTGGAAGCAATAAGCTGACTGATACAACACCAGCGATTCCTATGCACATTTAAGGGACAACTAATTTGAAGCTCCAAGAGATAATTTCATACTGGAATGTATTATTCTTTGATGTCTTCCAAACCTGGCCTTAATTAGAGGAAAATATTGTAACAGAAATGACTCTGATAGCAGACAATGAATAAACTGTAGGCTTTTTCATCTAGGCTTGAGGAATCTAAAATTGCACATGTGTTCATATGAAGAGATATTCTCTGTGGTTATCACGTCAATGCTAAAATAGAATCGTATAGAGTACATTGAATACTTAATTCACTTTCTCTCTCATGCATTAAATATTTTATATATCATATATATTATTTTATAGTTGTATTAATTTATACATTAGGTAATACTCTCCAGGGTAATTTAAATTCATAGTAACATAAATTGACTGTAGAAAATAGTATGTATCAAAAAAGCTAAGTAGAAAACATCAGTAAAATGGTTGGCTTAATACCTTCCTGATTCTAAAGAGAAATTCTCCATCTGCTATGGCTCTTCACTCTCCTTCATGAACCTGATGAAAGCTAAGAATGTTCTCCTGAAAATGCACCAAGAACCAGGAATACCAAATTTTATGTTCAGCTTCATGAGTGCACTCACACACGGCAGATTAAATACCCTCCTAGTGCAAAAACCTCCTAGGGTTTCAGGAGATTAGGTGATCTGTTTGCATGAAATTACATGACTTTAGGGCAACTCCTTTACAAGTCAAAGTGCGATCATTACCTAAATGAATATCTACCCCTTTATAGGCCTGAGTTTTTGATAAAATAGAAAAGAGGTAAATTCTAGGAAGAAACTCTGCTATAAAGCAAAGAAACAGAGCAAACACATATATCCTATGAGTTGACTTCCCGTACTGCTTACTCAGTTAACTCCTTTCATCCTTGGAATGAGAATGAATCCAGTGGACTGACTTACACTCACACAGTAAAAGTAAATAAGGTAAACAAACATTCAGTGCACAGCTAAAATAAGGCAGCAGCTGTTGCAAACAGGAAGTGGATGGGGAGTGAAGCCAAGATGTTCAGCAAGAGAGTCTGTCCTCATATTCTGCAGGAGTATTACAAAAGGGAGGGGGTGGAACAGAGGGCTGAAAACTGCTCCAGGGAGAGAATATACTTGGTGAAAACAACATACCAATGGCTCATTGTAACGAGTTGCCCACGGATTGGGACGACAATGCCTAGCCCTGTCAGGAACATAAAGCAGTGTCATTTCATCCAGGGGCAAAAGGATGACTCAAAATAGCTGTTAGGACCTGAAAATCACAGGTCAGGAAGCAAGGAAAGCAAATCTAACAGGACTGTGCCCAAGTACTCTTGGGAGGCTTCTTCTCAAATATTCAGGAACCTATCTTTGGACAAGTTTGGGCCATAAGAACTTAATGTTCTCAACAGGCCCCTTGGCCTGGTTCACTTCAAGTGTGGATGCAGCTGTCACTCCATGGCTGCTCACGTGGACCCAGTGCACAATTCCAAAGTCAAGGACGGAAGCGAGGCTCCACTAACTCTTTGACTGTTAGACTATACTATCCTTTTGTTAAACAAAATCCCATCCATAACACTAATTTTATGTCTGGCACACAAAACAGACAGCAGACTTCATCAGATAGACCTACAGTTGTCATGCTTTTAAGAAAGGGAGCAAAAACCTCTCTGATAACCTTTTTTGAATAGCCTGAGGCCCTGAATACACAGCAGCTGCTGAGGACTGAATTCGTGGCTCGCTGCAAAATAGCCGACAGGCCTCCGAAGAGTAGAAGGCTACTATGAGAGGAAACATGCTTTACTGTTTTTGGCAAAAGTCACCAATGAATAAATTTGCCTGAAATATGTCAATTTTATTACAGGAAAAAAATGGGGGGAAGTTAACATTAACAGAATGACTATAGTTTTTTTTTTTTTTTTGATAGGCAGTTAGACAGTGGAGAGGAGAGACGGAAGAGAAGGTTTCTTTTCTGTGGTCACCTCCAAATGCGCTACGGCGCACTGCGCCGATCTGAAGCCAGGAGCCAGGTGCTTCCTCCTGGTCTCCCACGCAGGTGCAGGGCCCAAGCACTTGGGCCATCCTCCACTGCCCTCCCGGGCCGCAGCAGAGAGCTGGACTTTAGGAGGAGCAACCGGGACAGAATCCAGCACCCCATCCGGGACTAGAACCTGGGGTACCGGCACCGCAGGCAGAGGATTAGCCAAGTGAGCCGTGGTGCCAGCCAACAGAATGACTATGAAACTATGGCCAACGCTGCGGCTCACTTGGCTAATCCATCAGCACCCCGGATTCTAGTACCAATTGGGGCGCCAGATTCTGTCCCAGTTGCTCCTCTTCCAGTCCAGCTCTCTTCTGTGGCCCAGGAAGGTGGTGGAGGATGGTCCAAGGATGGACCTTTCTTTCTGTCTTTCTCTCTCACTGTCTATCTCTGCCTGTCAAAACAAAACAAAACAAACAAACAAAAAACCAATGAAACTAAAAGACTTTTTTCCTCTATGTAACAGGATCTGTTTTCTTACTGCCTCATGTAACAATAACTCTCATTTGGCAGAGAAGTTATAAAGCAGTCCTCCTTTCTCAATGGGGAATGCTTTTCAACAACCCTATGGATACTTCAAGCCAGAGATAGTACCTGAACCCTAAGCATGCTGTTTTCTCCTCCTATGCGTGTATGATTAAATTTAGTTTATCAAGACAATTAGAGGTTAATAACAGTAATGAGTAATAAAATGAGGCAGCTGTATCAATATATTAAAACAAAGTGATTTAAAACTTATGAATTATTTCTGGAACTTTCAGTTGATTATTTTTAGACCATCGCTGACTATGGGTAAATAAAACTGCAGAAAATGAAACCAGGGATGGGGGAGGGGGGAAAAGTATAATGATACAATTCTCACTAGTAACATTTAGGCTTTAGAGTACCTTTCAAAACAGAAAACGTGTGATTTGTGAACATTCCTTTAAATAGGTGTGTGTGTATAGCTCCTGGATTCTCAAGATACTCTGTTTCTGTTCTACTACAGGGATTTTCACAGAATTGTGACTCACGGTGGAAATGGCATTCACCATGCCATTGGTGATCTGGTCTTGGCGCATGTGCTTCACAACATCAAACTGTGCTGCTCGCTGCTTAGGAATCACCTGGTCTGCAATCTTCTTCATTTCAGAATTAAACTTTTTGAACAAATCTTCAAAGAGAAGAGATAAAAGCTGGAAAAAGAAAAAGATTACATGGTGATCTTTCAAAATGCATTACTAAGCTATTTAATAAAACCATAGGTCATGATTTGGGCACTGTTAAAAAAAAACACAAAAAATTGTATAAAACTAACAATCTATATATATTTAAAATTCAATCTGACAGATATGTACATAATTTTCTATGTGCTTAACACCACACTAGGTATTAGGAACAACAGTAAAGACGATGACATATGCTGGCATTCGAAGACATTTAATTACACCAGTTACTCTCAGACTTTTGGATTTCACTGATGAGAGACCTAATAAAGACATCAAAACCCAAAAAAGGTAGAAGGAAGAAATAAACATTAAGATGTCTGACAACACCAAAGACATAGCGACATGTGAACTTCCCTCTCATCATTGGTGAAAATGTAAATTTGTGCAACCACTTAGAAAACAGTTTGCCATCATCTACCTATCCCTCGTGCTCCAACAGGTCCTCTAGTAGATGTACCCCTACAGCAGTGGAAATCACTGCTTGAACACACTCTGTTGGTCTCATCCTTACAGTTTCTGATTCAGGAGATAGAGGGCAGAACCCCAATAATCTGCATTTTTTTTTTAAGATTTATTTATTTTATTTGAAAGGCAGAGGTACAGAGAGGCAGAGGCAGAGAGAGAGAGAGTTGTCTTCCATCTGTTGGTTCACTCCCCAAATGGCCACGATGGGCAGAGCTGCACCAATCCGAAGCCAGGAGCCTGGAGCTTCTTCTGGGTCTCCCACATGGGTGCAGGGGCCCAAGGACTTGGGCCATCTTCTACTGCTTTCCAGGCCATAGCAGAGAGTTGGATCAGAAGAAGAATAGCCAGACTCAAACCAGCACCCGAATGGGATGCCAGCACTGCAGGCGGTGGTTTTACCCACTATGCCACAGTGCTGGCCCCAAAGAACCTGCATTTCTAACAAGCTCCTAGGAGGTGCCAGAGCTGCTGGTGGAAGCGGGTACTTTAAGCATCAGCACTCTGCAGAAACTTGCATTAATTATACCAGGACACATATACAAGATATCTGTAGTCGGCGCCGTGGCTCAATAGGCTAATCCTCCACCTTGCGGCGCCAGCACACCGGGTTCTAGTCCCGGTTGGGGCGCCGGATTCTGTCCCGGTTGCCCCTCTTCCAGGCCAGCTCTCTGCTATGGCCAGGGAGTGCAGTGGAGGATGGCCCAGGTGCTTGGGCCCTGCACCCCATGGGAGACCAGGAAAAGCACCTGTCTCCTGGCTCCTGCCAGGATCAGCGCGGTGCGCCGGCTGCAGCGGCGGCCATTGGAGGGTGAACCAACGGCAAAGGAAGACCTTTCTCTCTGTCTCTCTCTCTCACTGTCCACTCTGCCTGTCAAAAAAAAAAAAAGATATCTGTAGTAACATTTTTAACAGCTGAGAACTGGAAACCATATCAATAACATTTAGTTAGACAAACTGTGGCATACTAAAATAGAACAGTAAAGCCCTGAAAATGAACAAAAAATGATCACAAAATCATGACTAAATTTTTTATTTTTAAAGATTTATTTATTTTACTTGAAAGACAGGGAGGGAGAGAGAGAGGGAGAGGGAGAGGAAGAGGGAGAGGGAGAGAGAGAAATCTTTCATCCACTGGTTCATTCTCCAAATGGCTACAACAGCCAGGGCTGAACCAGGCTGAAGCCAAGAGCCAGGTTCTAGTCCTGGCTGCTCCTTTTCGAACCCAGCTCTCTACTATGGCCTGGGAAAGCAGTAGAGGATGGTCCAAGTGCTTGGGCCCCTGCACCCACATGGGAGACCTGGAGGAAGCTCCTGGCTCCAGATGGGCACAGCTCCGGTCGTTGCAGCCATCTGGGGAGTGAACCAGCAGATGGAAGATCTCTCTCTCTCTCTGTCTCTACCTCTCTCTGTAACTCTGTATTTCAAATAAATAAAATAAATCTTAAAAAAAAAAAAAAAAAAAACTGGATCAGTATTTGGTGGAGTAGTTAAGACATCCCTTGGGATGTTCACATCCCCAAAGTGCCTACTTCCGAGTCCCAGCTCCACTTCTGATCCAGCTTCCCGCTGATACACACCTTGAGAAGTAGCAGTTGACAGCTCAAGTTTGTGGGTTCCTGCCACCCATGTGGGAGACCTGGATGGAGTTCCTGGCCCCTGGCTTCAGCCTGGCTTAGCCCTGGCTGTTCTAAACATTTGGGGAAGAAACCAGTGGATGGACAATCTCTCTCTAACTCTTTCTTCCCCCCAGCAGTCTTTTGAATAAAATGAAAATAAATAAGTGAAATTTTAAAATACTGAAAAAGTTTAAAAATGAAAATAATTTTTAAACTATAAAAAATTTAAAATTTAAGTGAAATTTTAAAAATTAAAAAAAGCTGAGGGGCCAGTGCTGTGGTGCAGCAGGTTAAAGCCCTGGCCTGCAGTGCCAGCATCCCATATGGTTACCAGTTCAAGTCCTGGCTGCTCCACTTCCAATCCAGCTCTCTGCTATGGCCTAGGAAAGCAGCAAAAAATGGCCCAAGTCCTCAGACCCCTGCACCCACATGGGAGACTCAGAAGAAGCTCCTGGCTCCTGGCTTTGGATCAGCATAGCTCCAGCCGTTGCAGCCATCTGGGGAGTGAACCAGTAGATGGAAGACCTCTCTCTCTCTCTCTTTCTCTGACTCTACTTCTTTATAACTCTGCCTTTCAAGTAAATAAATAAAAAATCTTTAAAAAAGGAAGGATGGGAGGGAGGGAGGGAGGGAGGAAGGGAAGGAAAGAGAGGGAGAGGGAGAGGAAGGGGGAGGGGGAGAGGGAGAGGGAGGGAGGGAGGAAGGAAGGAAGGAACAAACTTCTAGGGCCAGCGCTGATGGCATATCAGGTAAAGCCACTGTCTGCGGTGCGAGCATCCCATATGGGCACTAGTTTGAGTCCTGACTGCTCCACTTCCAATCCAGCTCCCTACTAATATGCCTCAGAAAGCAGCAGACAATGTCTTAAGTACTTGGACCTCTGAACCCATATGGAGACCCAGATGGAGTTCCAATGACCAGGGCTAGGCCTGCATTGTAGGTGGTGGCTTAATCCATATGTCAGCCCTCAAATGTATAAGCTTTGATGAAATTGTTTATTTGGACCAGCGCTATGGTATAACGGGTAAGCCCCTCTCTGTGGCACTGGCATCTCATATGTGTGCCAGTTTGAGTCCTGGCTGCTCCACTTCCAATCTAGCTCCCTGCTAATGCACCTGGGAAAGCAGTTGAAGATGGTCCAAATCCTTGGGTCCCTGCACCCACATAGGAGACCCAGAAGAAACTCCTGGCTCCTGGATTTGGATCAGCCCAACTCTGGCCGTTGTGGCTAGTAAGAAGTGAACCAGAGGACGGAAGACCTCTCTCTCTCTGTGTGTGTGTCTCCATCTGTCCCTGTAACTCTAACTTTCAAATAAATAAATCAATCTTAAAAAAAAAAAAAATTGTTAGGGGCCAGGGCTGTGGCTCACTTGGTTAATTCTCTGCCTGCGGCACTGGCATCCCATGTGGGTGCTGGGTTCTAGTACCGGTTGCTCCTCTTCCAGTCCAGCTCTCTGCTGTGGCCCGGGAAGGCAGTGGAGGATGGCCCAAGTGCTTGGGCCCCTGCACCCGCATGGGAGACCAGGAGGAAACACCTGACTCTTGGCTTCGGATCGGTGCAGTGCCGGCTGTAGCAGCCATTTGGGGAGTGAACCAACAGAAGGAAGACCTTTCTCTCTATCTCTCTCTCTCACTGTCTATAACTCTGTCAAATAAAAAAAATTGTTAAAAAAAAAAAGCTGACTGAAAAAATTTATGTGTGAATCTACTTAATAAAGCTCAATAATAACCCAAACTTATATTGTAATAAAAGATTTTATAACTTTAAAATTTAAATATTAATTTTGAAGATGTAATAAATTAAGAAAATTACACGGATAAATAAGAAGCTTTTGTAGCAGTCTAATTCTTCAGTTGAGTAGTAGTTTTGAGGGTGTTTAATTTATTTGTAACCTTTATAACACATATGTAGCATATTTTTATTTTTATGTCCAAAATTAGGTAATAAAATTAAGCGCTATTAAAGCACAGTGAGGTATTTTAAACAGCATGACCATGGAAGCCAAACTAATGGGAAAGAACGGGAGGTCATCAAAAAAGACTAGCATGGCTCTGTTTCCAGATCGGCAAAGTAGCACCTATCAGATGGCCATGCCTGAGATACTAATTATAATCTCTGGATGAAACGTTTACAAATTCTCTGGAGGAGCTACAGCATCTAGCACCCAAAAGCAGACACAATTGGAGGGTGAATGGCACTGGCTCTCTCCAAGGAGAGGTCACACTGAAGGTAAAACAGGCTCACAGTGTTGTTGGACTGAAGAGCCACAGGAAAAAGATCTGAGGTACAGGGAGAGCTCCCAGAGAGGAAAGAACCACAGGAGAAAACCCCAAATTCTGTAAATAAACTGCCCAGATTTCTGGAACTACACATTGCAGGCAGACAAACTTCTTCAATAATCAAATACATTAGATATTACAGATACTAATTCCCTGGAATAATTAATTGTCTTAGTTTTTTTCCCTTTGTAAGCATTTTTATTTCTTTAAAGAGGAAAAAAATGTTCAATATAGTTGTGTTCTAAACTAATTTACAAAACAAAATAATATTGGGAGGGCATTATAGTTACTCTAATTATTTGCTTAAAGAGGAATCCTAGACTCAGTGAAAACTTCTGAAGCTAAAAATTTTCCAAATTCTATATTCCTGAATGTTTATAACCAACAGGTAGTTTTTTGACTCCTAAAGAAGAAGATATTCAAAGCAGACAAGCCTCCTCCAACAAAGCTAACAAAGAAAGCATTTCCCAAATGGGAACTGATTTCATGCTTCTCTCCCTTAAGTTAGACATGTCCTTCCACTTTTCCACTGAAATCAACTTGCAGATAGGAAAGTCAGGATCTTGGACTTGAATCTACCACGTCAGAAGTGCTCTAAAAAGAAGACTTCCTCCTCTGAGAGCTTAATCCTCTCTTACAGTCAGACCCAGCAGTTTCACTCATGGAAAGAAAGACTACGGGAATGGAAGCAGGTGCAGAGGGGTGAGAGGGGATGAAGCAGCCCATTGCAGCGACTTCCTGTGCAAACTGGCAAAAGGAATTTGAATAAGCATCCTGAACAGAATCAAATGCCCTCAACCTAAACCACAAAAGCTCAGTGCTCTTGCCATTAGCCCCTTACACTCAGACACTTTTGTCTCAAATTATGACAAAGTTTTTTTTTGGGGGGGAGGGGATCCCAGCTGAATGCACTGAAGCCTCCCCCAGTGCCCCAATTGAAACACAAGCAAATGCCCTTGGTACTCAGCAAGTAAAAAGTAGGAGCACAGTCAACAGAAATACTGCCTCATTAGTAAATTTCCCCACTCTTAAAATTTCAACTTAAGAGAATTAAGTGTTGTCCAGTTCACAGAGCTGTGAGAAACCACAAGGCCAAGTCACAAAATAAACCACAGTATTCAGGTCAAAAGAAAAATAATAAAAAAAGGAAGCAAAGCTGGTGTTAATATTCAACACCTTTTATTGCTAGTATGTGGTCTTTCTGCTTGCCTGAGACAGGAGCACTAAAGGGCAAATCATATTGAAGGAAAGAATGCTGATAGCTCATCAATTGATTTTCAATGAAAATGCTGAAAAAATTAATAAAGAAGTTAAGCTGCTGAAATACAGTTTCACCAATTAGCTTAATGTCAGAGAATTCTAATTAGGCGTCTTGAGATTGCTATTTAGTGTTTAAGCCTTCAGAGTGCCAAATTCTCCTTTTCACACAAACTGGTTGCAAAATTAAAGACATTAGGCAGCCTTAATTACATTATCAGAACAGCTGGGATTAGCCAATCTCTGAAGTCAAGACGGCATTCTTTTGTCACAGGGTGGAAATCCCTGGCTTTCCAGGGTGCCGGATTTTGGTGCCATTCCATATCTCACCCATACAAAGCAAGCTGCATTAGAAACAAAAAATTTGCAGACAAAGAATAGAGTAATGCTCAGCAAATAATGAACACATTACCGAAAAAGAAAAGGTAGGTGAAGAGATTAAGCCTGGAATCGGTAGGTTTTGCTAACACCTCTGCTGGCGGCTGGCCTGCCAACCCCCTGGCGGCAGTAAGACTGAGGGACAGCTCTGTGAACCCCCTTGGCCAGTGGAGACAACTCTGTTATCTAAAGCTGAGGCACATTTATACTCCCTCATCCCATGGGGTGTGAAATTAGCAGCTATTGTTTCTACACATTTTTGCCAACACAATGCCTTTTATGTCTTTACATTGTTTATAAAGCCATGCTGTCTTGCACATGGGAAGGCTTTTTAATTCTAATTTTTTAAGCAACAGGATAGTCTCCTGTCTCCCCTCCCTACGCCTTTCCTAGTCCTCTAAACAACTTTTATTTATTTATTTTTAAATGCACTCTTTTAGCAGCAATGATTTTTTTCCACTTAAAAACAGTGAAACTTGGGACCCAGGGTGGTAGAGACACCTAAAATTCCTTGCCATCGTCAATCCGACGCTGGCCAACAATCCACCTGCTAAGTGGCAGCCATTAACCAAACAGAGCTGTCCTGGCCTGACAGCTTTCCAAAACTGAAAATGCTGTCATTTCTTAATTCTAGTTTTTGAATTTTAACTGTGAAACATCTGCTATTATCCCAGCCACCATCGTCTCCCATCTGAAACACTGCTACAGCCTCCCAGCCAGTTCACACTTGGCCTGACTTCAAATCAGACCTTTCTACGCTAAAAATCCAATCACATCACTCCCTTGGTTAAAACCTCTAATGGTTTTCCACTGCATGTAAAATTAAATCCAAATACCTTTCCATGGTCTACAGAGTTTCAGACAATCCAGCCTCTGCCTTGGTCTTCAATGTAACCTCTCACCACCCTCAAACCTCACTCATTCCAGCCACCCGCACCTCCTTTCTCCAGGCCCTAAACTTGTTCCTGCCTCTCCTTGCTGGAACGCAGTTCCTTAGGTTGCATGAGACTGATTTGTCTTCCTGATTTCGCTTGAATGTGTGAGGGCCTGGCTTAACATACATCACTTTTTCAAAGGTTAACTCCTGACTTCTTATCAGCCTTCCCCTACCAACACCCCAGTATTCTGTTAGGATACAATCCAAGATTATTGGATATAAGAAAAACATGATTCATATTTGAGAAGAATAGGGAAATAGTAGAAAAGGATTTTAAAGCAGCCATCAAAATTCAAGGATGTAAATAAAAACATGGTTGTAACACGAACAAACAAGAGCTCAGTAGAAAAAAAACCAGAAACTATGAAAAAAGTCCAAATAAACTTTTTACAGCCAAAAAATACAGCAACTGAACTCAAACACTGACTAGATAAATATAACAACTTGTTAGAGATGACATAATAATAAGTGAATCTGAAAATAAACCAATAGAAATCATTCAATTGTAAAAGAGAACAAAAGTGAAAAAACATTAACAGGGCCTCAATACTAAAAGGTCTAACAGTATAAACTGAGTCAGAGAAGAGGTGAGACAGGACAGAAAAAAAAATATACTTTAAGAAAGCTTGAGAATTTCTCAAATTTGATGGAAGACATACATTTTTAGACTTAAAAATTTAGTAAACCCTATGCAGGATAAAAATAGAAAAAAGCCACACCAACCATTGCTTTAGAACCAAAGGAAAAAAAAAACCACATATCAACAACAAGCAGGTCTCTATTCTAGATCTTTGACTTAAAGGCAATATCTGATTGAAACACTGAAAAATGAAAAAATTTTAGTCACATGCTACCTAGCTGAAAGGGATACACACTCTCAAGACAACACCTATCACCTATCAGCTAAGACTCAAAATGAGATTAACACATCCTCACTCATCTGTTTTTACATCACCAAGAAAGGGGACTGTTTATTGTCTCTCTCACACTAGACTATAAAAGTTAAAAGAAAAGGGACCTCTGTGTTACTCCTCTTCATATACCCAGTACCTAGGAGTATATATAGAACATAGTAAGTGTTTAATAAATATGCTAATTGAATGAATGCTATGAACTCATACTTCTATAGTACAGAGAATGAGGGGTAAACAAAGGATATAACACAGTAGCACCAGTAACATTCTTAAAGGATTGCAGCATTTTCATACTTAAATTCTTTTTTTATTTTTTTTATTTTTGACAGGCAGAGTGGACAGTGAGAGAGAGAGACAGAGAGAAAGGTCTTCCTTTGCCGTTGGTTCACCCTCCAATGGCCGCCGCGGCCGGTGCGCTGCAGCCGGCACACGCGCTGATCCAATGGCAGGAGCCAGGCACTTATCCTGGTCTCCCATGGGGTGCAGGGCCCAAGCACTTGGGCCATCCTCCACTGCACTTCCTGGCCACAGCATAGAGCTGGCCCGGAAGAGGGGCAACCGGGTGCAGAATCCGGCGCCCCAACCGGGACTAGAACCCGGTGTGCTGGCGCTGCAAGGTGGAGGATTAGCCTAGTGAGCCACAGCACCGGCTTCATACTTAAATTCTTAAGCAGAAGAGATTTTAAGTCATGTGTGAAATGTTTATACTTCCAACATACAAGTATGTAACCTCTATTCCATTCAAATAGCTCTTTTTCCTATCTAAAATGAATACAGTTAACTTTTATTAAAAAGAATAAGATTTGCAATACAAAATATTAGTTAAATTACCTGTCCTGCCAATTCCAATCGCTTGTTACCGTAATAGTCTCTGTCATCAACTTTATTATCTCCTTGTGCCAGAATGACTCTTCGAACCATCACGGCAGTATAGATACATTTAGCTCGGAAATTGAACTCCTTTACCTGTAATTCAAAAGTAAGAAATTTTTTGAAACAGCACACACTAAAAGCACCCAAGAAAAGAACCAATGGTATAACATTTAAATTTAAAAAACTACTGAACTGTTGATTCTCCCTATTCAAAGAAATACAATTATCCTGAAAACTTCCTGAGAGCTAGAAGGGGACTAAGCATCTCTGCACTCAGTACCTGTGGTGGCTGTACTTCAGAGATGACTGCTACCAACTCCGCCCTGTCCTATCACCCTTCACACCACTCCGTCCTCACAGGTAGAGTCCACTGCCCCTTTGGGATTGGCTCGGGATTAGTCTGACCATGAGAAGATAGCAGAAGTGAAGCCAAGTCAACTGCAGGCCTACCCTATAAGTAAGCTGGTAGTCTGCACTTCCTTCCTTCGAGTCCTGAGATACCTTGTGAGTGCAGGACACTGTTATACAGAGAGGCTACATGGAAAAGCACAAAGGGGCCAGAGACAAGACATGCTGGACTCCCGCCCAGTGAAGACTTCGGATGACTCCAGCCTCAGCTGCTCCCTATTTGCAGACTCACAAGAGATCTAAAATGAGAACTTCCTCTTCCACCTTAGGTAGAGCACAAACCACAGAACCTTGAAGTACAATAAACAGTTAAGTCTTTCAATTTTGTTGATTGTTATCCAGCAACAACAGGCAGGGTAGTAAACAGTGTCTGGCACACAACAAGTACCTATTGAATGGACTGCTGAATGAATCTGCTGCTAACATCCTGTCAATCCTCTCCATGACAAAGCCTCAAGTCCATTGAATAAATCCAGCTCAATCAGTAATTTGAATCAGAACTGGTAAATTAGTCACACTGGTTTATTCCGAGAGACAAAAACCTTTGGCAGATTCTTTCCCTACAACTAAAAAGATGAATTCTGAGAACGTGGCCCAAGTGTCTGACAAGTTCAAGAAACATTTTAAACTTTTCCATAGAGGATACATACCATACTATTAAAAATTTTCAAAAAAAAGATTTTTTCCTTTTCACTCCCCTTAATCATTTATAAAATCCTAATGAGACCCTTTTATTATTTTCCTTTATGCATTATGTAATTGCTGTTAAGGAATTCCACTAAATAACACAGAATGTTAGAATTCCGTATGTGTTTCCAAAAGTTCATTTCCTTCACAGTAAATCTTTTTCTTCTCTAGATCAGTTTATTCCCTTCTACTGGGAGATGTTAAAAAAATAATGCATCTGGGGGCCGGCGCCGTAGCTCACTTAGTGAATCCTCCGCCTGCGGCACCGGCATCCCATATGGGTGCCGGGTTCTAGTCCCAGTTGCTCCTCTTCCAGTCCAGCTCTCTGCTGTGGCTCGGGAAGGCAGTGGAGGATGGCACAGGTGTTTGGGCCCCTGCACCCGCAGGGAGACCAGAAAGAAGCTCCTGACTCCTGGCTTTGGATAGGTGCAGTTCCGGCCGTGGCGGACATTTGGGGAGTGAACCAACAGAAGGAAGACCTTTCGCTCTGTCTCTCTATCTCACTAACTCTATCGGTCAAATAAAAAATAAAAATAAAAAAAAATAATGTGTCTGAAATGTGGGAAATGAAAAAAATTCACAAAACCTACTTTATCATCTTGCACTTCAAAAACCACTTATATCAATAAGAAAGGTCTCTAAAAAAGAAAAATGTCTTGTTTTCAAGAAAAAAAAATCTTAGAACCATAACACCAATTGCAATACCACCAAGCAAAAAACCCTAGGCCTGAGCAGCTTTAAGTAATTTATATTTCAGTTGGATTTATTTATTTAGTTGAAAGGCAGAAATAGAACGAGAGAGAGAGATCTTTCATTTTACTGGTTCACTCCCAACTGGCCACAACGGCCAGGGCTGGGCCAGACTGCAGCCAGGAGCTAGGAGCTTTCTCTGGGTCTCTCATGTGGGTGTAGGGCCCACTTGGGCCATCTTCTGCTGGTTTCCCAGATGCATTAACAGGGAGTTTGGATTGCAAGTGGAACAGCTGGGACTCAATCTGCAGCCCATATGGAATGCCAACACTGCAGGTGGAGGCTCAACCTTCTATGCCAGAGTGAAGGTCCATTCATTGACATGTAAAAGTTGCATGGCCCTCCACTGAGGTACATCTAATGTGCACTATCTATGATCTTACTGTGGCAAATTAAATTTAATATCTACTTTCTTCTAGCTGTATTTACTTTTCTTATTCATGAAAAAAATGAAGCAAACTTTCATGGATCAAATTTCAATTTTTCTTTTGCATAAATACAGGTATATTCTCCCTAGACATTTACATATACAAAAAAATACAGATACTTAGAGTAAATGTCCCTGTTGCACTTTAAAAGGCACTAAAACCCTAAGTCATTTCACTGCTCCACTGTCTTAAACTACAAATGCTGAAAAGCAAACCCTAGTTCTAAGCTGAAATAATGAGTTAATACCTAGCACATTTTCCCAGGACTATTCCCAGAGTCATATGGACAGGGAGAACCCTATCATCTAGTGGCTGACATCACCTTTTGGTAGAATGCCAATAGTGTTCAATATTCTTTTGTGGGATGTTAACCTCTGGATTCTGTAAACAAGGGACAGAAAGAAGATCTGACAAATGAGGTTGAAATGCTGAGACAGAACTGCTGTCACCAGAACTCTGGACACTTCTTAACATGACTTTGGAAAGAGGAGTGTGGGGCTCAGACATTTCAGAGTCTCATCACCCCCAGAGTAGTGATTTCCGAACGTCAGTATGCAAGGCCTGTGAAAATATGGACTCCTGGGCTCCACCCCCAGAAGTTCTGGTTCAGTAAGTCTGGGGTAGAGTTCAAGTACTTCTAACAAGTTCCCAGGTGACGCACATGCGGCTAATTCAGGGAATACTCTTTGAGAACAGCAGCCCTGAGGCATGCCAAGACAAATGCCAAGTGCATGTGCTGGGAGCTCGTGGACACCCTGCACATACTTCTCCCTCCAGGTAGATAAACCAAAGCAGTGCTTCCCACCACCTTGAGTACTGCCATATCTCTGTAATAGTTATTTACAAAATATTTTTAAACAACTCACTTGAAAGTAAGCTTCATCATATGCAATAATACCATAAAATATCAAGTACCACAAAGATGCATTTGATATTTGATGTGCTAGTTGTATTTTTTAAAAATATTTATTTATTTGGAAAATCAAAGTTACAGAGAAGGAGAGACAGAGGCAAAGAGAGAGAGAGATATCTTCCATCCGCAAATTTGCTCCCCAAATGGCCACAGTGGCCAGGACTGGGCCAGACTGAAGCCAGGAGCCAGGAACTTCACCTGAGTCTCCCATGTGGGTGCAGGGGCCCAAGCACTTGGGCCATCTTCCACTGCTTTCCCAGGTGCACTAGCAGAGAGCTGGATGGGAAGTAGAGCAGCCAGGACCTGAACAGGTGCCCATGTTGGATGCTGGCGCTGCAGGCAGCAGCTTTACCCTCTATGCCACAGTGCTGGCCCCTAGTTGTATTCTTTCTAATAAGTACATAATTATTTACATCAAAATGCCTCTGAATTACCTAAAAATCATCTACATCCAATCACCCTAAACCATTCTGGAAAGTAAAGCTCTTTTTTTCATCTGCCTGACTTCATTCCCACTGGAATGTATATAACCAAACTTTTATCAGGATCGTTTTAGGCTTACTGCAATCACGAAATAGTGAATATGATTGTCTTTATCAACCTAACTAAAGAAATATCAGTGGGGCCGGCGCTGTGGTGCAGTGGGTTAAATCCCTGGCCTGAAGCACCGGCATCCCATATGGGCACCGGTTCTAGTCCTGGCTGCTCCTCTTCTGATCCAAATCTCTGCTATGGCCTGGGAAAGCAGTAGAAGATGGCCCAAGTCCTTGGGCCCCTGTACCACGTGGGAGACCCAGAAGAAGCTCCTGGTTTCAGATCAGCTCAGCTCCAGCCATCGCTGCCATCTGGGGAGTGAACCAGTGGATGGAAAACCTCTCTCTCTGTCTCTACCTCTCTCTCTGTAACTCTTTCAAATAAATAAAATAAATCTTAAAAAAAAAAAAAAAAAGAAAGAAAGAAAAGAAATATCAGTAGAGCCAGCGTTCTAGCAGCCAAGGCTCTGGAAGGAGCCAGGAGCCATAATTTCTCTATAGTAAGAGAACAAAAGCGAGGGTCCCACTACAGGCTCCACAGCTGTGTGAGAAGATGTAGAAAATGCAGATTTTTATGTACGCCTTATCACTGCATCACCAGAAGAATCCTGTAAGGAAGTGGTGTTACTCCATTACAGAGACAAGAAAACCGTAAGTTCAGAAAATTTAAAATTTGTTCAAAGTAAACCAGAAAGTAAGAAACCAGGATTTGAATAATCATGTATTTGGGCCCATGCCCTTGTTTCCACTTTCTTTTGCCTTTTTTTTTTTTTTTCCTTAAATTCTAGAGGCAGAGAAGAGGAGAGAAGGAGAAAAGGAGAGGAGAAAGAGAGAGGGAGAGAGGGGGAGAGAAAAAGAAACATTCTCCCATCTTCTGGTTCACTCTCCAAAGACTGCCAACACCTGGGACTGGGCTGAACCTAAGCCAGGAGCCACGAATTCAATCCAGGAGTCCCGTGTGGGGTGCACGGAACTGAATGCTTGAGACATCGTCTGCTGTCTCCAAGGGCCCACACTGGGAGAAAGCTGCAGGCAGGAGCAGAACTGGAATCAGACCCAGGTACTCCAGTTTGGGATGGAGTGTTTTAACCAGCATCATAACGACTATGCCAAACACCACTCTGATTTTTGCTATTTTGAGGTTTGACCCAAAAACTGTTCTAAAAAATTCACTTTGGATCTAGCTTTAACATTAAGAATTTTCTAATTCTTTGGAGTATATCAAAGACACACACAAGGGCGGGAGTTTGGTGTAGCAGTTAAAACATCACTTGGGACAACCCTGTCCCAAATTGGACTGCCACAGTTAGAGTCCTGGCTCCACTTGTGATTCCAGCTTCTCAGAATGAGTGCCCTTGGAGGCACCAGGTGATGGCTCAAGTAGTGGGTCCCTGTCACCCATGTGGGAGACCCAGATTAAGTTCTGGGCTTCTGACTTTGGCTTGACCTAGCCCTGGCTATCGCCAGCATTTGGGGAATGAGTTAACAGAAGGGAGATCACTGCCTATCTCTCTCTGTCTCTTTGCTTTTCAAGTAAAATAAATAAAATTTTTATAAATTTTAAAAAAAATAGTAAAGGACAAACACAAATGGCTACCAAAGGGCAGAATGAAAGACCTGAACTATCTGGCTCACAAAGTGTTGTTGTTTCTTTCTTTTCTTTTTTTTTTTTTTTTTAAAGATTTATTTATTCTTTTGAAAGGCAGAGTTACACAGAGAGAGAAAGGGAGAGAGAGAGAGAAAGATCTTCCATCCACTGGTGCATTCCCTAAATGGCTACAACAGCTGGACCTAGGCTGATCAAAAGCCAGGAGCCAGGAACTTCTTCCAGGTCTTCCACGTGGGTGCAAGGGCCAAAGTACTTGGGCCATCTTCTGCTGCTCTTCTCAGGTACATTAGCAGGGAGCTAGACTGGAAGTGAGACAGCCTGGACTCGAACTGGCACCCATATGGGATGCCAGCACCATAGCAGCAGCAGTAGCTTTACCCACTACACCACAGCACCAGCCCCTCACAAGGTGTTTTAACTTAAGAAAGTTGAATCTGAATGCATTTGGACACTCTCCACTTCCACAGACTCTCCCATTACCATACAATCAATCCCTGAAGATAGGGCTTGCAACCCTTTATCATTAGTGAATGGAATCCCTAGTAACTCACAATAAGCCAGATTATTTGGTTAATAAAAGTGTGTAACAAATGTTAATTCTATTACTCAGAAAGAGTAGCATACATATTAAGTGGAGGAAGGGAGAGGGAGTGACTCCTTCCAATATCCCACATGCCAACACGGTGATCTGGTGATCTCTATTTAATGAAAAGTTGATAAAAAAAATAAATAATATGAACAAGTTCAAGGGTCAGAAGATAGGTGCTAATCCTCCTACTGACCCCTAACCAGCTGAGTAACAAGGCAAATCCCGAGTCTGTTGATCACAGAATCTTGGCTGTAAGTGAAGGAAGCTGGACAATGGGGGATGGGGGTTTAGCTAGCAGTTCAGACACTGTTAAGATGCCACATCCCATGTCAGAGCATAGACCCAGGTTTGATGCCTGGCTGCAACTCCCGACTCCAACTTCCTGCCAGTGTAGAACCTCTGAAGCAGCAGGGATGGCTCAAGTAATTGCATCCCTGCCACCCATGGGGGAGGCCCAGAGTCCCAGCCATCACAAGCACTTGGGGAGTGAGCCAGCAGATGTGAGTATACTCTCTGTCTACCCATCTCTTCCTCCTTCCTCTGCCCCCTGACTCTCAAAAACAGAAACAAAAAATAATAAAAAACAAATTTAATGCCTAAGAGATTAACTCATCAAATAAGCATCTATCATAGTAACGGTTGCACAATTACGGGAATGCACATAATGCCAAGGAAACTCTACAATTCATGTCTATTTTCACATAGTTTTTAAAAAGTATAGGGGAAAACCAATGTAAGCTTGTTTTAATTTATTTTACAAGTATGTAAGATACTATCTCTGTCAAACCATGAGATCCAGTAGTGGAACTAATTCTTATCTATGAATATAAAATAACAGTAATTTAAGAGTAAAAGAACCAGGAGAAAATTACCATATGATGTTGGCACAGCTAACATTCTCTGAGCACAATGCACCACTGATAATGGAAGATTATTTTCAGTGGGCACTACTGTCCTCTTCAGGAGCGTCTCCTGAGGAACTCCACTTTATGCAAGGTAAACGCCCATTCGCAGCTACAACAGCACTACTTACTGGAACGTGGGTCAGAATGGTCGAAGCCAGGAGCTCTCTTGCTTCCTCTATTTTGGTTTTCTTTGGTCCACCTCCCCACATTCTCTGCCTTCTGACTTTGTTCCCTATATATTTCAATGCCTGTGAGAAAAGATGACAGTAACGACTGAATGACATCACTGAAATAATTTACAAAATATCTACCAAACACACACCATAAGCAAAAAAGATCAAGAACTTGGTTATAGAGAAAAATCAATATTTGTTATAAACCAATGACAAAAGAGTATAACAAACTTTTAACTTTGTGTTAGAAAGCTAATACAGGATCATTTTAGGAAATGTAGGAGATACAGATAAGCAAAACATGTGCCATCAATCCTTTATCCAGTGAGCACCACAGGAAACATTTTGTAGTAGTACTTCTTTTCCTCTTGAAAAGAAATCACAAGATATAGTACTTCTATGCTGAAAGCTACAGAACATCATTGAGAGGAGAAACACCTAAATAAATTAAAAGTAAAGACATTTTTGTGGACTGCACAACTCAATAGTGTTAAAAGTGATCTACTGTTAAAATTCTCTCCAAATTGACCCATAAATTCATAATTACTTGTGGGGAGCAATCCGGACTGGACTAAGTTACTGGAATTAAGACTTATTCTATGCATCTGCTCCCCCACAATATGGCGCTGGGAGAGAAGAAAACAGCTTCTACACAGCTGCCTCCAGTTCAGCTAATAAACTGTAGGACTTGCTCCTGATTGGAGGAGAGCAGCGTACTCGGCGTGTGGGCAGCCGAGTTAGGATTGGCGGAGGAGGACTATAAAGGAGGAGAGAGAGAACATGCACCGGGAACATCTAAGGGGAACATCTGAAGGAACACCTGTGCAGCCCCCGAGAGAGCCGGCCGGCGGTGTGCCGCTCCCCTGTGGAAGTGGGGAAAGTGGCCAGGGGGAACCGCCCTTCCACGGAGGTGGAAGGGACAGTAGCCAACCCGGGAAGAACCAGCAGCAAACCCGGGGAGGGCCGAGCCGATGAAAGAACAGCGCAGGGTCCTGTGTTGCTCCTCCACGAAGAGGGGGAGCGACAATTACTAATTATATGCTTAGCAGGCTTTTTAAAAAACAGAAATAGACTAATTCTAAAATTTACAGAGAAATGCAAAGGTCTCAGAAAAGCTGAAACAATACCGATAAAGAAAAGTTGGAGTATTTACATTACCTGATTTCAACTGTAAAGCTACAGTAATCAAAACAGTGTGACACTGGCTGAAGGACAGCCAGCCAGATCAATGGGAGAGAATAAAAAGTCCAAAATACATTCACACTACATGGTCCACTAATTTGTGACAAAAGTGCCACAGCAATTCAATGAAGAAGGGAATCTTTTCAACAAATGGCACTGAAACATTAAATACTCACAAATAAAAAAAATTAACCTTGACCTCTACACCTCACACCAAATGGAAACATTAGTTTAAGACAGATTTTAGAGCCGGTGCCGCGGCTCAACAGGCTAATCCTCCACCTAGCGGCGCCGGCACACCAATTTCTAGTCCTGGTCGGGGCACCGGATTCTGTCCCGGTTGCCCCTCTTCCAGGCCAGCTCTCTGCTGTGGCCAGGAAGTGCAGTGGAGGATGGCCCAAGTGCTTGGGCCCTGCACCCCATGGGAGACCAGGAGAAGCACCTGGCTCCTGCCTTCGAATCAGCGCGGTGCGCGGGCCGCAGTGCGCCGGCCGCAGTGCGCCGGCCGCGGCGGCCATTGGAGGGTGAACCAACAGCAAAGGAAGACCTTTTTCTCTGTCTCTCTCTCTCACTGTCCACTCTGTCTGTCAAAAAAAAAATTTTTAAAAAAAGATAGATTTTAGAGCTGAATGTAAAAACTAAAGCTATAAAGCTTCTACTAGAAAACACAAAAAATGGTTTCTCATATGAAAATAAGTAAAATAAAGATTTATATAAACAGGACACCAGAAACAATAACCACAAAAGACAAATAAATTTAAAAAAAAACTCTTGAAATTTAATTATTTTCAGAATTAAAAGACAGTTAAGAAAAATGAATAGGGAAGCAATGGATGGGGGGAAAATATCTGTAATACATAAATCTGACAAGAGATTAAAAAGACTGGCAACACCAAGTATTGTGAGGACACAAAGTAATCAGAAATCTCACATACCACTGATGGGAATGCAAAATGGCACCCTCATTTTGGGAAAAGTCATATATAAAAGGTATATACACAACTGCTCTCTGATCCAGTAACTCTATTCCAAGAGAAATGAAGACATGTCTACACAACGATGTGTTTACAGCAGCTTTATTCATAATATCCAATGGTGGGGGCGGGGGGGGGGAGGCCACCAAATAGGAAAACAGATAAACTGTGGCGTTTTCATGCAATGGTGCAATAAAAAGAAATGAACTACATGAACAAATGACATAAAATAAAAAGGTACAGTTCATACAAACCTCAGAATATATGCTGAGCAAAAGAAGCGACACAAAAAGGTTTATATTGCCAGTTACAAACAGACAAAATTGGTGAATAAATATGGTGAATAAATATGGTGATAATATGGTGAAAAAAGCAGAATAGTGAGGAAAAAAGGACAGAAGAAAATATTGACTAGAAGTTAGTATAAGGGAACTTTTGAGATAATGGAAATATTTTAAGTCTTGTAAAAGTTAAATCTGCACACTTTAGTGTATGTAAATTTTACTAAAAATAAAAGAATGGATTACTAAAAGACAATCAAGTAGCAGGGTGAGAAGTGAGTGGAGATTTAGATGAAACATTCTGCCAAAGCTGGTAACTGTTGAAGGCAAGTGACAGGTGCATGAGAGTTCCTGATGCGATTCTAAATACTCTGTACATGTTGAAATCTTTTCACGATAAAAGTGTTTTAAGAAAAGGTGATGGGGGCTGGTGTTGTGGCGCACTAGGCTAAGCCACCTCTTATGACACCAGCATCCCAGGAATCCCAGATGCTCTGCTTCCAATCCAGCTCCCTGCTAATGCTCCTAGGAAAGCAGCAGTTGCTTGAGCCCCTATCACCTACATGGAAGACCCGGATGGAGTGCTAGGTTCCTGGCTTCCACCTGGATCAAACTGGGCTGGCCGTTACAGCTATTTGGGGAGTGAACCTGCAGTTGGAAGATATCTCCCTTTCCCTCACTGTTATTCTGCCTATCAAAAAAATAATAAATATTAAAAAAAAAAAACCTGGTTTTCAGTTCATCAGGAGAAACAATAGCATTCCTGCACCAATTAGGTTCCTTTCTTCTTTGTGCTTCAAAATCCAGATGGGTGATCACTTCCTCTGAAGCTTCTCCTAGCCTACTCCTCTTTTCTGTAATTTTAGTGCCTATGCACAGAGAACTGGGGTATTTTCTTCTCGTTCGCATCACACTACATTGTAAATACCCATTTACTTATATTCCTCTTACTAGACTTTGAGACTGGGAACTCATCTTTTTCTTTGACTCCCAGACACTAGTAGAGGGCCTAGAACTGAATGGAACTCCTTCCCTTGTGACTAGATGTAGACATCAAATCTAGGCTCTTCCTGCTACAAGGCATTAGAGCACAAGATGAAAAAACGACCCTGGGAACACTGGCTGAGTGACCTGGAGGGAACTAGTAACTAAGTAACTCAGAAAAACAAGTTAGCAGTTGGCAAGAAGCATCAAGGGATGGGGCAGTTTGGTTTTCCCTAAACTGAGCCGTCTTGCTAAAATTTTGGCCTGCTAGTTCCCTTGGGAAAAAAACACTGAAGAGCCTTCATTTCTTTGAGAGGAAACAGGAACACAGGGGAGCAGCAGAGCCCTTTTGATACAGCAGAAAACCACTTCTTCCTGGACTACCTAAGAACTGCCAGAGCTTCATGGTGCCAGGCTTGTGTAACAGCCTGAGTTGTCCATCAACACTCCCAGTGTACCCTACTCCACTCCCCTGGCAAAAGTATTAGTAATAAATTACTTCTCCATGTACCAGAGCCTTAAGCAAGGGTGACATAAAACCTACAAGACCAATACAGAGCAAAGGTTTCATAAACAGAAGAAATGCGGGAGGGACTACAAAGGGAAACATAAAAAACAAAACAAGACAAAAAATCCACAGATTTTAAAGAGTCCAGTAAATTGCCACATCGTCAAGGGTTCTAATACTTAAATAAAGTAAAGCACATCCACTATGTTTCCATTCAGAAAACCATAGATCATTCATGTTTTTGTAACTGATAATACAAGTTCAATTTGTCAGCCATTTTGGATTACTCGTATCTCTGTACTCCTTTGTTAGTTGCAAATAACTAATCTACACCTTGATCCAGAGTGCAGACCCTTTCAGAGTTATGTTCAGGGAAAAGGAACACTTGTCTTTTCTTACATCAAATAATTACATAGTCCTTCAACCTTTTCACTGGTCTTATATAACTCAGATGAAATTTTCTATCACTACTTTTTTAATAGAAATAAGTGAATGGTTTTCCAATTGACTGTTTAGCCCCTGCTCACAGTTTTGCAATGCTAGGGTTATTTGATCAATGATGATGTTTGCAATAAAATGCACACTGGGCCTCCTTGAAGTCACTGGGATATCACTAAGGTAGAGTGCCCTGCAGGGCACTACCCAGCTTTGTGTCTCCCTAAACTGAACCTGAACCAATCACTCCTGTTCACAGGGTAGATTATATATTTATATTCCTGGACATTTCTTATTGCTTTTTCTTCACGTTCTTGGGACTTGGAATAGTATCCCTTCAGTTGTTTCAAAGATTCATGCTGTCAAGGATTTTACTTTGTGTGTGTGTGTGTGTGTTTTTTTTTTTTAAGATTTATTTATTTGAAAGACAGAGTTACAGAGAGACATAGAGACAGAAAGAGAGGTCTTCCATTCGCTGGTTCACTCCCCAGATGGCCGCAATGGAAGCCAGGAGCCAGGAGCTTCTTCCAGGTCTCCCACGCAAGTGCAGGGGCCCAAGCACTTGGACCATCTTCTACTGCTATCCCAGGCCATAGCAGAGAGCTGAATCGGAAGAGGAGCAGCCGGGACAAGAACTGGCACCCATATGGAATGCTGGAGCTTCAGGCCAGGGCGTTAACCCGCTGCACCACAGTGCAGGACCCAAGGATTTTACTTTGAATAAAGGACAAAAATAGAATCTTCTAAATCCAAACAACTTTTCCTGGTGCTTCCTGTCCAGTGATTTGAGTTGACTATTAATTTACCATAGAGAAAGAGAACAGCAAGAATGGGAATAATTCCTTCTGATTTGTTTCATAACTATACATACCTACGTAACAGATTTAACTTTCCTAAACATTTCGCTTAGTCCATAAAGATATCAAGACTGATTTGACTTCGGAACAGACACAAACAGACCCAAGTGGGGCATGCTATCTCTACAAGCACCCTGGGTGACGAGGAAAAAGCAGTCTAGAACTTTTATCTTTAAAGAACAGAGACTGTATCACGGCTAAGTTCAAACTGTTTACTGTGGTTTTGTTGTAGTGAACTCCTACCTCCCAGGATGGCCATGAGGAATGTTACTACTGATTTACACTCAGCAAAGTACCTTACAAATAGGAGACTAAAAATCCCAAGTATGGCTACTAGAGCTCCCTCCCATCTGGGAAAAGAGGTATAATTATCTGTGTTATGTTTAACATACGTAGTGCTCCCCTATCTTCATCTTTGAGTCTTGTGCCTAAAATCCCCAGGATACAACCCAGAATGCCTGAACAGATCAATGAACAGACTGCAGTGGTAAAAGGGCAGCTCCAAGGACCAGTGAAGACCAGTGGGCATTCAGGAAAAGCAATCAGGAGCACAGTGCATAGCTAAAGCCCATCAAAGCAGGGAATTAAAAGGGCTAGTAAGGGGAAATGCATGAAATTCCTAAATTTGAGTGATTTTAATAAGGGGGAAATATTTGTTGGTATATTAGAACATCAAGCTCTTTGTTATTATCCCATTTCTAAGATGCCATAGGCTGATCATTTGTACAGGCAAACCCCTTCCTTCAATCCTGAAACTTCTCTACTACTTCTCCCATCTTCCCCACACTCTTCCTAGATCAATAACCCTAAAGGCCACTGCATCTGATGTCTTATCAACGAGCATTAAATCTCTGGTTCCATTTCATAGCAAAGGACAGTATGAAAAGACACACCTGCATCTGTGTGAAAATCTGAGCTTTCTGGCACTCTTCCAAACTGGGCCCAAATGCAGCCATCACGTGCTCCTCTGTCCCAATCATCTGCACAATTTCCTGGTCACTTTCAACACCCATGGCCTAGGAAGAAAAGAAAAGATAGAGTGTTGGCTTTGTGTTAACTCAGTGACATTTGCTTATGCTAATTTGGCATTGTTTGTGGGTATTACTTCTAAGCAAAAGCTAGCTCTTCTCTCAGAAATGGTGCCATCTGGCATTGGCAGCATCTCCCCAAGCTGCAGGAGAACCTGAAACTGAAATTTTGATCAGCAAGAGACATTCTTAAGCACTGTGTGTGTGTGTACTATCTTCTCAAATTTTTAAAGAGTCTCAGAGTTTCATCGTGAAAAATGGAAGCCAGGAAGTACATCGGAGGCTATGGACAAACTGGAAAGAAAAAGAGTCCAAAAATCAGTGAATCAAAAACCATGCATTGCTGAAAGAAGCAAAACCCCGATTAGTTTTGTCACAATTTTTTTTTTTTTTTTGAGAACTGTCAAGTCGTTTGTATTCAGGCTAAAAGAATTTTTCCTAAAAGATCTTTTACTTTAGTGTTCTATGACTTCTCACAAGTCATATTTTATGCAGGTTTTAAAAGATTTTTAAAAACTAAGCACACACTTAACAGGTTTTAGAAGCTCTCTAAGTGTTTCAAGGTGGCAGCGGCTGCACAGGTCTCTGCAGATTCCCATATGATCCAAAAGCTCACTCCTTCCCACGTTTGCCTAGAATTCTGCTCTTTGGAGAAATACAGCATCATCTCACCAAACCTTAACTGGCAGAGGAATATTCTGCTTCTCAGAGTCGGCTGGAAAGTTAATGTTTGCACTAGAATTCTTCCCACAGCTGAACAGAGAAGACAGAACCAGCTAACTGACCGGGTATGCTTTGATGTTCCGGTTCTCAGCACTCCTCCACACACAAGAGAACAGGAATATGGAATCCCAAGTCCCAGGGCAGAACATCAAGGGCAGCTCTAACAGCAGAGAGATCTGAGGTGCTCATCCTAATGCAATGCCTACAACAGACACCAACATTTGCTACTGCTGCTGTTTCGTAACCTCTTCCACAGCATTTGTGCCATGAGATGGCACAACCCGGTTCCTTCCAGCTCAAAATCCTATGATTACACCTCTGAACTACAGCATCATATATTCTATAAACTCTATTTGGATACTTTAGGATCAGATATAAACTTACTGACAAGTTTTGAAGGTTTGGGGGATGCAAAATAGATGCTACATCCCTTCCTAGTCAATTGTGGTGGTTTTTCTTTATTTTCTAAAAGACTTATTTATTTGCAAGGCAGAGCAACACACACACTGATCGATCTTCTGTTTGCTGGTTCACTCTCCAAATGGCTGCAACAACCAGAGCTGGGCCAGGCCAAAGCTGAGGGCTTCATCTAGGTCTTCCATGTGGGTGCAGCAACCCAGGCACTTGGGCCTTCCTCCACTGCTTTCCTAGGCAAATTAGCAGGGAGCTGGGTGGGAAAAGGAGCAGCTGGGACTTGACCCGGAGCCCATACGGGACGCCAGTGTTGCAGGCGGCAGCTTAACCTGCTGCACTACAATGCCATCCCCTGTGGTATTTTTAAAATGGTCACAAATCCTTTGACACTCCCTTTGAGAGGGGGAGGCAAATTCCTGTCCACCTGAGTGTAGGCTAAACTTAAAAGATCCACTTCCTAGGAAAAAAGCAGAAACATACATATTGGAGGCTTGGTCATAAAAGGCACTGTAGCATCCACTTTGCTCCCTCTGTCACAGTGCTTGCTCTGGGGGAGGTCAGCTGCCAAGTCTGAAGACACTCACACATTTTCCAGGACAATGGTCTAATGGTGGGGCACTATGGCTTCTTATTCTTAACAGCCAAAGAGGACCCGAGGCTTTCCCTTTTAATTTTTTTGTTGTTAAATTTTATTTTAATGGGTCTCAAAATTCTGTGACAGATCTTTGGTCAAGTTGTTTCAATTAAAAAGTACTGATTTTAAGAACTAGTAACTGAAAACTGCTATATTCTCTCTCTCTCTCTCACCACACACACAAGAGAGAGAGAGAGAGAGAGAGGGAGAGAGGGAGAGAGGGAGGGAGGGAGGGAAGCAAAAGGCCTACAAAATGTCCTCCTTTTCTTCTGAAGGTCTTGCAATGCTCCGGTTCATGAGCTGGGCTTTCACTATTAAACTTAAATCATCATTGAGACAATCAGTTCTTTCACCACTGATTGAGAAAGGAGTGGCAGAGATTAGGGACAGACTTGGTGACACTGCCACCTCCAGCAGCCTTCTGGTCCACTGCTCTGATGACGCCCACATCACAAACAGCAAATCAACTCAGAGGAGAGTGAGAGCCCGCATCAACACTTGGGCTTGCCTGGAACCCTACTGACTGCAGCATGATCAGAGTTCAAGAACCCACCTTCCAGCTTCTGACCAGAATGGCAGTCAATCTTGTCCTTCAGCCTAGCAAACTTGCAAGCAGTGTGAGCTGTGTGACAATCCAGTACAAGGACACAGCCAGCACGGATTTGGCCTGGAAGGCTGGGATCATCACCTGAGCAGGAAAGCCGGCCAGCTGCTCCTACTGCTGAGTCATTTTTGCTGTCATCAGCAGTGTTGCCACAACAAACATCACTGACAGACATGTTTTTGATTTTAAAGCCTCACAGTCTTGGGCTGTGATGTCAATGGAGTAAAGTGACCACCATGCCAGTTTTGAGAACACCCATTTCCACTTGGCCTATGGGATGAACATCAACACCACCAATTCTGTGGACATCCTGGAGGGGCAGACGGAGGGCTGTCAACTGGACCAGTGGTGGGAGGATGGAGTGCTGGGCTTCATGAAATGTGTTCCCATTGACACTGCCACCCTTATGGGTGACTTTCTCTTTCCTGAACCAAGGCATGTTAGCACTTCGCTCTAGCAACTGGAAACTGGCGCAAGTGCTACTGTGTCAGGGTTGCAGCCATTTTCTTAACTTGAGTGGAGACTTCCTTAAAAATTTCCTCGTATCTCTTCTGGCTGTAGGGTAGCTCAGAGGAATTAGGTTTTTATGCTTGTTTGCTTTTTAAAAAAAAAAAAATTTAATTAATTTATTTGAAAGACAGAGTTAGAGCAGGAGAGGCAGAGGCAGAGAGAGATCTTCCATCTGCTGGTTCACTCCCCCAATGGCCACAATGGCCAGGGTCATGCCAGGCTGAAGCCAGGTGCCAGGAGCTTCCTCTGGCCTCCCACGTGGGTGCAGGGGCCCAGGGCCTTGGGCCATCTTCCACTGCTTTCCCAGGTGCATTAGCAGGGAGCTGGATCAGCAGAAGTGGAACAGCTAGAACTCAAACTGGCACCCATACTGGATCCAAGCACTGCGTGCTGCAGCTTAAACCGTTGTGCCAAAGTGCTGGTCCCTCCTTTCATTTTTTAAAGATCTATTTATTTGAAAGCCAGAGTTACAGAGAGAGGGAGAGAACTTCCATCCACTGGTTCACTCCCCCAGATGGCTGCAATGGCCAGCGCTGGGCCAGGCTGAAGCTAGGAGCCAGGAGCTTCATCTGGGTCTCCCACATGGGTGGCAGGGAGCCAAACACTTGGGCCATCTTCCATTGTTTTCCCAGGCCATTAGTAGGGAGCTGGATCTGAAGTGGAACAGCTAGGACACAAACTGTCACTCATATAGGATGCAGGCAGCACAGGAAGTGGTTTTACCCTCAATGCCACAAGGCCAGTCCCTAGAAACCATTTTTTTTTTAAACACATACCCCGTGTGTAAGCCAGAAGGGCATGCTCAAGGTCTGCCCATTTTTGGAGATACCAGGTGCAAACTCCCATCTCCTGCAGCAGCAACAGAGCAGCACAGTCAGCCTGCGATGTGCCTGCATCTTTTAAATGAAGCTGCTGTGTCCTGGGGCATTGAGGACAGTCACATAGTGCCTGCTGGTCTTAGCTGTCAATGGTGATCACATGCTCACACTCAGCTCTGGTTTATCCAAGAAGAGCCCTTCTCGTGTCACCAGCCTCCTTCTCATTTGTTTCAATGGTTCTTTTTTCAACCTCATCACTTGTGTACATCAGATGGCCAGCAGCGGCGGATCTGCCCAGATCTATGTGACCAACAATGGTGATATTCATAGGATCTTGTCGTTTCCTTTCCTATCTTGTCTCTGATTTAGCAGTGGTTTTCATGACACCTGTGTTCAGGTAAAAACCTGTTGCAAGAAAAAGCAGACCTGCAGGTTTCTGCCAACTGCCATGAGGTGGGTCATTATGGAAGAGACCCCCAGCTGCCAGGTCAGCCTTCAGATGACTGCCACCTTGGCTGACATCTTGTTGTACAGAAGACCCTGAGACAGAACCACCCAAATTCATGACCAATAGAAACTGTGCTATATTTTGTCACACAGAACAGGTAAATGATATACCAACTTTTGGAATTAGATAATTTCAACTTAAAAAATTTTTAAGTGCATAACTAGTTTTGTTCAATATTCTTTTGTTTAACAAAGTTTTCAGGACACAAGACCTCCACTCCCCCCCCCCTTTTTTTTTTACTTTTAATTTTTGTAGTCTTTTCACTTCTAATTTGACATGATACATTTATTTAAAAGGATAACTGCAGTGCAGGCACTTGGTGCAATGGTTAAGATGCCTTTGGGGACACCCACATCCAATACTGGAAAGCCTGGGTTCAAGTCTCGACCCCAATTCCAATCCAGTTTCTTACTAATGCACACCCTTGGAGGCAGCAGGTGATGGTTCAAGTACTTAGGTACTTGCAACCTGTGTGGTGAACTGGATTGAGTTCTAGGCTCCTGGCTTCAGTCTGGCCCAATCCTGGCTCTTGCAGACATTTGGGGAGTGAACTAGTAGACAGAGGATCTCTGTTTCTCCCCACCTCTCTCTATGCCTTTCAAATAAGCAAAAGTAAATAAATAATTTTTAAAGCAATACTACTAACAAAAAACACAAATCATTAACACACTTAATCTATATTGGATCAAAGGATAGCAATCCTAAAAACTGATCAGTTTTACTTTTTAAATGAACAAAAACCAGGTTATTCTTAGCTCAAGCACACTGTGTTGCATC